ATTTATCTTTGAGATGATTTTATTGCATGGTTACCCTAGGCAATTAAATCAATAAATCTTAACTGTCAGAGAGGTTGGCCTACTGCCAGAAATAAATGAAATGCACAGAATCAGTAAATAAAATGTTTCTGACAACTCATTCTAGGAATTATTTAGCAGTTGGGCCTTTTTTTTTTTGGTGGTGTTGGTATTCCTTTTGTCTCCTGCATTTATTGACATTCTCCATGAGAAATGATTATGCTAACATAAACAATGTAAGCCAGGGATGTAGATGGATGAGGGAGAAGAGTCCGGCTCTTCAGGGTAATAAATTATCCTCCTGGAATCACAGACAAACAGCAACTTTGGGGGGCTGATAGCACCAGTGGAGGCAATTAGAGAACTGGGGCCTGAGCCATGGGCTGGCAACACATTGGCAGCCCCAGTGTCAGGCACCAGGAGCTTTGTGCGCTGGCCCATGGTGCCTCATTATTAGCATAGATGTGCTTTTATCATTGATTGATTCAGAGATGATTGAGATTGAAATGCCTCTTTGAGACAGGGAGGTGACATTTTTGTTGATCCAGAGTCCAGTGTTCACCACAGGAGATGCCACTTTTGACAGTGAAATCATAGCTATGCCTGTGTAAACCCTGAGTGGTCAATGCAGCTGCATTGTTTTTCATGCTGGTGTTACAAAACTGAAGGCCCAAGTCTGTTTTCACTTACCCTGGGATTTGACATTTTACGTTAGTGTAAGTAACCTGTATTTAGGTTTAGGCTCTGTCTCTCTCACTGTGGTGAGATTAGGTGACCTGATTAATAAACTGATAGATTTTTAGTCATTGTGGTCATACACTTTGAGTACCAACAGGCCACCAAGTTCACCCAGTAAGTCCTGGTTCAAAGCTTCCTTCAGTGGCTGAACAGGCCCATTCCTCCAGCAAGGCAGCAGCTGCCAGGATAAAGATGGAGACAGCCCTAGCCATGGGTATCTGCATATTCCCCATGCCACAGGTGACCAGGACAATAATGGCAGAGAAACCTGTTGTGATGAGCACTGAAGGAGGCCTTGCCTGATTAGAATAGAACTAATTGGATGGTTTGCAGGGCCAGTCCCTCACCAGCATCACATTGAGTCTGTCCTTGAGCCAACACCAGCTCCATGGAGCCAAGAAGGGATTTATCTGAGTAGTATGGAAAAAATGTCTGTATCCAGTCTCGGGACACACAAGTGATCTTCAGTCACAGGAACCCTTGGAAAGAAACTCATCTCTCTGCTTGAAGCTGGATAGGCTCACCGAAACCTGGTCCAAACCAGAGACATCATATCATCTTGGCTGGGGAATATCTCATTTGAAAGTACTTCCTTCAAGGTCCTCTTTGGCTTCTCAGTGTCAGTTTCCCAACCATATTGCTCCTCTGACGTGTTGAGTCCCAGTCATGATTTTGCAGCCTTTGTGCTCCTCTGTGGCAAATTGCTGTCTCCCATTGTGTGTGTGTGGAACCAGGCAAGAAGACACTGAGGAACAGCAGCTCAGGCTCAGGGCATGAGCAATGCTGGGTGGTGACTGGGGTGCTGAAAATGCCCTGGACACCCCTCTAGAGGAGGCTTCTCTTGGCTAATCAGCTCCCAGACCACAGAAAGCATTAGAGATCTGAGTGATGTGCTGTGCTGAACTGAATGAGTCATACCCATTTCCAGGTACAGATAAAGCCAATGGAGTTTCAGAAGACTGACTGGCAAGCAGCTTCTCATTGCAGATAATTCCCTGCCAGCGTATCCTGAAATAAGGGATGGCTCTTAAATTGATGGCGTGAAGCCTTTTTATTTAGCTCCTGCTTGATAGACAGCAAATGTAGAGTTGCAAGAAAAAAAAACCCAAACCCCCCAAAAAATCAAAACACAAAACAAATCCTAAAAAGAAAAAAGTGCTGCAGAATTTGGTCTCTGTTACACCTCTCTAAGGATGAAATTACTTGGAATGAAGAGTTAAAGGTTCTGATGCTCCTCAAAGCCTGGGATCAACTCTAAGGGGTATTCAGGGTGTGCTGACTTTTCCAGCAGTCCCTGCTAGAGTTGGGAATTGCCCTTCAAATGCAGCAGTCATTTGAGGGCTTCACTCTCCCTGCAGATTAGAGGTGGCATGCTGAATCTGAGGGAAGCTGGCACCCTGGTACTCTGGCAGCATGACTCAGCTCTCTTAGAAGAAAACGGAGCATTTTTCATGTGGCTTCATCACTTCCAGCCACACACATTTCTCACAGCACCCCCTACCAAAAGGGTGAACCCCATGTGCTTAGAGTTGCCTGAGAAATGGAGAGTAAATGGTGGTGGTGGTAGTGCTGGCTGTTGGACATTTGTTTTACTTTTTCACTCAGATTTGCCTTTCAAAATGTAATTTCTTGAGCAAATAATCCTACAAATACGTAGAATTGGTATTTGATGATCTTGATGGGTCCCTTCTTACTCAACTGATTCTATGATTCTGTGATTCCATGATAGTATCTTTTCTTCTGCAGTCCAGTTCCTGAGGTCTGATGTACAGACTCATGTCTTGGGTTTGGTTGGTCTCGTGTGCTCACAGGTGTACAGGTCCCTAAAACAGAGAACACATCTCTTTCACAAGGCCAGTCTACACACATGCCAGAAAATATCCCGAGGGGCTCTTCTGTAGCTCATATGACCAGAAAATTTTGCTTAACATTGACTTGATATGTTATTTGTGTGCTGAACATATTTACATTAGCTATAATAAAGTCCTTCCAAATGTGTGGACACAGTATGGAGGGAAAAAAATCCCCACGTGTTTTTTTCAATAAAATGATAATCTAAAATCACTTTGAAACGCAGTTGCTAAGTGAAATTCCTCCCTCTTATATAGAGTTGATGTTGCATTGCTTTCCTTCTGGCTCGTGTGTATAGGAGGGGCTGAGAAGTCCCAACCTTTTAGTGACAGTATTTGGGCTGTGGTTTCTACTCCTTAGCTCTACAGACCATGGGAAGCTCCAGACAGACTTTTGAGATATAAACAAGTCTGCACAAGCTCTTCTTCATCTTTCATGCTGGCAGTGAAACATCCTGTGGTCGAGAGCAGTTTGTCATGGGCCAAACTCATTCCTGAGGGAGTTGTGCAGTGAAATCATCTTAACTGGCTGCCAAACTGTAGTGCTTCCTTCTCTCACTTGAGCATTTTGTAGCTCTTATGAACATCCTACTCCATTGCCTCAGCCCCAGCCAGGGAGGGAGGAAAGATGTCTCCTTGGCAGTGGAACAGGGCACACAGTACCTTGCCTGAGGTTGTTGTGAAATTGTGTATGAAAATGAGCATCCAAACACCACTCTTCCATCCCTGACATTGCCATACTTGGAGGAGACATTTCTCCCGCTACTCAGAAGCGTGGCATCTTTTGCTCCTGTGGTAATCCCACATACTGGCTGTATAAGTACTCCTTTTTTATTTCCAGATGTTTAGGAGCTTTTTTCTGAATTGAGCAGTCACACTAACAGTGCTGTACAGCACAGGTTTATGTGGAGCCATTCATCATTCATAGCTGGCATCACAGAACACTTCACAGATGATTACAAGGTTACACATGCAGGGAATGACATGAGCTGCCAGTCTGAAGTCAAGCTTCAAGTGGGTTTCTGGGCACACCCAGAAGATGAAAAGAGCTCAGAGAGGAGTGAATGGCGCATGAAGCATCAGACCTGCCCTCCCCTCTTGCTGACCCAAAAGATGTCTCTCTGAGATATCCACAGAGAGATGTCTTCTGTCTCCTTGGACACAAAATGGGTATCCATGACACTCTGTGTGCTCTGAACACCCTGTTCCAGATTTCCTTCTGAAGTGATTTATGCCTAAGAAGGTGCTGGGCTCTAGCACCCAATTTACAGGTAACTATTCACACAAGTGGGATGATGAACTGGAAAAGCCTTAGTCTGGTCATACCATAGAGCTTTAAGCTGCTTCATGAGGTCAGAGTGGTGCTGAGAAGTTGGAAGATACCAGCTACTGGACCTTTGTTCTAAGGAGGACATTACAAGAGATACTCAGCCTCAAATCCAGACTAACACCTACTGGTGTGGCTCTCCAGGCATTCTTCTGTGACACCATCTGTACCCTGGGCTCACCACCCCCTCCCCAACACTGTCTGGGATGAGATGCCTCCTGGCCATGCCTTCCTGCAGCACGTCCAGAGCATGCACCTGTCCAGACTGAGATAGAAATGTTTTCAGCAGGACTGAATGTAAATGTGAGGGCCCACAGAGCAAATCACAGCGATGGCTTCTTTTGCTTGGAGAAAGCGGCCTGAGATGGACTCAGTGTTGGGACAGCTGCACTTCTTCTCTCCCTGTGGGCACCTCAACCTCACCTGCCCCATAAGCAGCAGCACTGCTCTGCACAGCATCAGCTTTGCACTGGGCAGCCTCATCACACGCTGCTCTGCCTCTCCAGAGAGCTCTTTACATCTCTTCTGAACTGGTATTCTTGGCACTGCCTCTCAGAGATATTTCTGCCATGATGATAGAAAACTTGGTATTCCCAGGTTTGTCACGCCAGGAAGACCCTGGGGACCAAGGCACCTGTGCAGATGGTCAGCAATGCTGAGCTGCACCACCTTAGTCATGCTGGAGCCCTGGGCTGCTTGTCAAAAAAAAGCCCTCCTTGGAAGCCTGGCCCCTCTGATCTCTGGGTTTGGTTTGGGACAGACAGGATTTAGGCTGCTGTCTTGCAGCTGAGGCCCCTCAGTGATGAGAAAAGCACATTATTGATCCCCTTACCTCACAGTTGGTATCAGCACTACATTATTTTCTAACATCAAGTCATTTTAAGTCATTGCAATGACACAAACACATTGATTAAAAATTAAAACCAATGACAGCTCTCCCACAAACAGTACTTACTGTACCATACTTACTGTATTCTGGGAGGAGAATGAGAAAATAGCAGAAGACAGAATAATTTATAGTGATAAAATGGGTTACATTTTCATAAAAATTTTATTTTACTTTTTTTTTTAAATAATTCAATGCACTGGCAGTATAATTAATCCCTCCATGAGAGACATGAATGTACCAGCTCAAACAATATTATTTATACAGAGACATTGTGTTTAAAAACAACAAAAGTACATTTAAAATGTTTGTACATAAAGTATTACTGTTATTTTTTTTTTTCTGAAGAAGGAACAAATGTAAACAAGATGCATAATTGTGCAACACATTGGAAATACAAAGCAAAACAGGCAAGATACAATTTTATACATATAAAGCAAAAGAAATCAAACTTTTATAACTATACAACATTTCAGTAATTGCTTGACATTTTAACAGTTACCTTGGTCTGTACAAAACATCTTAACTTATACTTAAAACTTTACAAGAATAACATGCTTGTTCAGAACAAAGACACCTTGTGGAATTGCAATGATTATTGATATGATACTTGCACACATAAGAAAAAATACTACTTCAATAGTAAATAAAAAGTAAGAACATGAATGTAAGGTAAAAAGCCATTTAATAAACCATAATCTAATTCCAATAGCTAATTAAGTTGCACTGCAATGCAGAAATTAAATCTGACTTTTGCTGGAAGACCATAAGGTCATAATGTTGCTCTATTTCCAGGAACCAGAGGAAAGCACATATAAATTTTCCTGATATTTTGGTTAATTATACATGTACACACACACACACACACACACACACACACACAAAAGAAAAAAAAATAAAAAAAAATAGTATTTGCCACAGCCAGAAATGGTGGGTGAGAGAACCCACAGACAGAGAACCCAACATGGCAGGGTTAAAAAAATCAGGACAGCTAGGAAGAGCAAACACCCACCAAGTTTGCCAGGATTACTTTTCCTGAACCTTAGTTCTATTTTGTTATTATTTTTCCTTTTTCCCAAATGACAGGAAGGAACTTTAATTGAGTTGAACCATTCCAAAACTTCTGGGAGTACCACATCCAAGCCAAAACAGAAACTCAAAAAGGAGAGCTCAAAACCAAAGCAAAACATCACCAAATCTTTGACTTGTTTTCATATTCTGTGATGTTATATCCTAAACCTTTTGAATGTGGGTTTAAAAAGAAACAGCATTTAAGATTCAGTAGAAGACATGCAATCCAGAGATGTCAAAAATACAGACAGGAATAAATTATACAATATTTTATGGAAATACAAGGACTGTCAGCTTGGATGAGATGTACATCATTTTTCAGTGTCCTCAAATGATACATATGGCTAAAATTAAACCTCTGACTGCAACCTAATATATTCAGTGCCTGCTTCTGCAATCTGTGTGCTGAGCACCAGTTCACACAGTTACTTCTGTGGACCTCAGTGGAGCAATGTGCTGACCAGGATGCTCAGGGGAAGAACAGCAGAATCGGGCCTAGATAAATATTTGCTGAGACTTCTGAATGTACAGAACCCATTTGGCTTAGAAAAACCACTTTAGCATGCTGCAATGTCTTTGAACTAAGGTAACAGATTCCATCTCTAGACTGAGAGCATATATGACATGTTTGAATTTATTTACCATCTTTCTGTGTGAGCTAATGCTGATGCCAGTAAATACTTAAACTGGGAGGTAATGAAATTGCACCATGCCTTTAGTTAAAACTAAAACATATGCAAATCTAGTTGGCAGGCAGAAATTACCCTCCAATTTTTTTTAGCAGGGATTATCTGGTGCTGAATCAGAATAGTTCAATATTCGCTCAGGCTCAGTGTGCATTTATAAAGCTGCATTAGGGCATGCAGCACAGTATGAAAAGGAAGAGGACTGGTTTTTCACCCAGTGTAAATCAGCACTGACATCCACAGAGCTACTTAGAGGCACATCAGCTGATGCTTTGGCCCTCAGTCATCAGAAACATGCAGCCATAACTTGGTTTGTATGAAAAACTCAGCTGTGGAAGTGCAGAATGAGGTGTAATCAACATCAGATCAAAAGATGCTTTGTTCATCGCATTTCTGATAATGCGTCTCCCTACAGACTGTGTGGTCTAAAGCTGTTTTATGATGTGCTGTACACTGCATAGCTTTGCAAAGTACAATATTTCCTCATAGGCAAGGATTATGGTACATTAATCATTTCAATGGCATGATCAGTAAAAAGGCATGATGATAAAAGCTTTGGGAGTTTATCTGCATAGAGATACACTGGCAAAAATTAGTCTGGGGTTAGAGGGTTTGCTCCTTGGTGTGTGCATATTGGATTAACTCCACTGAAATCAGTACTCCTATACTGGTTTACACCAGCTGAGGAACTTGTACTCTACCTCTGTTATAAATGAAACATTTATGTTGCTATCTACTATTCAGCTCTTTCATAAATTCAAGGGTAAATGTCTCTTGCCGGTGTTTCTCTGTGTCCATAACATTGTTACTTGTCACTGAAATCAGTGGTGGTTTCCCTGAGCAAGGGCTGAGTCAACACATGGTCTGGTTGAAGAGCGAATCTTTTTGCAGTTATTCAGCTCTAGTCCAGAGACCTTGAACTACTTTCAGTGAGATGAGTGCCAGCCATTCCAGTGGATGGAATTCCATTCAATTAATTGGTTTAATGCAACTGTGCCTAATACACATAACTCCAGTAAGGGTATGCCATTTTTGTTTATCTAGCTTCTCCTCTGATAAAAAGTACTCAGTAAGCTCTGCAAGACTTGCACTAATGCCACATGACAGCAGAATTTGGTGCCATGAATTCCACCAGTTGAGCCAAGTTATTTTTACTTTTTTTACTGTTACTTTACATTTGCTTAGCTCAAATTTTGGTCCATTGTAGTTGCTTTTGTTCAATAAAACAATTAAATTCACCTCAGAATCTGAACTTCCTTTGAATTCTGAGAAGAAAATAAGTGAGATGAGTGGAAACTAGGGCTATCTATACTTGAAGGGCCTTTCAATGGTATTACAACGTACTCACACAGTTGTGAGTAAACTTATATCTAGCACAGAGAGCTTATGGAACTTGCTAGATAGAGAAACTCAGTTAAAATCAAAGAAGAAAACAAGTCTCAAACAGCTGCATTGTCCACTCACATGACCTTTTAGACTGGCATCAGTAGGACTCAGTTGGAGTCCTGTAAGCATGAGTGGTTCTGTGGACACCACAATTTAAATTCCAATTCTGTGTACAGTGGGTACTGACTGAGTTCTATGCTGTCATGTGTGCACAGCTTCTGTCAGCTTCATTGGCATTTCCAGATTCAGTGCAAGTACAAGTGAGTGCTCAAATCCCAGTCCATCTGCAGCTGCAGAGGACCAAGACCTGAAAGCAATGCGGAGCCACAGCTCTGCTCACCCAGGCAGTGGGGCTGGGGTTTCTCAGTCCTCTTGGGCTGGACTGGACCCCCAGTACAGTGGACAGGACTATGTGGGGATTCACACCACACAGACCTGTAGCAGTCCAACACCCAGAGCAGGCTGAGGGCTCAGGAACTCTGTGTGGCTCCACAGCCTGTGGGAGGCAACATCAGGTGACACAATGCTGCCTAAGGTGGCTGCTGGGCCTTTGGGCTTGGTTCTTGCTTCTGTTGTACAAATAAAGTAAAAATAATGGTTTAACTGGATGGTGACTTCAAGGTAGTGACAAGAAATACCTCTCTGTGACATGAGGTGGCACTCTGAGCTGGACTGAAGAACTGGATGTGGTGCTGCTGTATTCTAATTTCACAGGATACCATGGTATAGGTATTATTTTGCAGGACACATCAACAGTAATAAGTCCCCTTTCCCAAGAAGCACACTCAGCTTAAATTCACGATGTCGGACCACAGCAGCTTCCTCCACTTTCTTTAAACCACTCTTGACATCTTTACCATTGCCTAATATGATTACAGTGCCAGTGAGCTGCCTGAAATGTCACTACACACCCTGTGGTTCTGGGAACAGCTTTTCATCACAGTATTTCTGCTGCAGTGCCTCCTGATGAGGCCAGGTTTGATTCTCACCTGACACCAGTTTTATGTAGTAACTCATCTGCTCTCATCTCTCTCTATAGAGTCATGTCCTCTCCCGAGTTGAACACAAGATCTGAATGCAATCTATCCTGACTTCAGCAGCCACCACAAGAGGTTTAAACTGGTGTGAGATGATCAGATGATCTTGGAAGACTAAATATCTCTGAAACAAAATGGCTTAAGGAAAGCTACCGAGTCCATCAGAAAGGCAGATCTGACAAGGATACTGGGGAGAAGATGACTACTCTCTAAGTCAGGCAGGAACATTTTGCATTCAGTGGCAGAGGTTTCAGTAATGGAGGAGACCTTAATAGCTTTTAGCCTATACATTTAGGCTAAATATCAAGTGATATAACTAAAATATGCCCCTATATAGACATACCTCATTAGACAACAGAGAATGTCTTTATGCATTGATCTGCTCTGGTTATGTCATGGAAGTTCAGGAGGATTTTTGGAAACTGAGGAACTGAGCTCTCCCAACATTGACTTGTTTTATTTGTATTTATAAAGTAGCATGTAAAGTAAAGCTGGAAGATATCATAAGGACAGTAGATTAGTTTCCCATCTTCATCCCCTTTGCCTCACTCCCAGTGCATTCAGGTCAGGTCAGGAAGATACTGAGAGGGGAAAGGCCCTTTGCTAAGACCCCTTGGTCTGAAGCCTGCCTGCAGTTGGGACACTTCTACACTTGCTTCAGAATAGCAACTTAATTTTCTTTGGTGACTTGTTGAATATTTTGTCTTTCTTAAAACTTCAAGACACTGGTCTATGGCAAATGAGTTTACCTGGAAAACAGTACGTTGACACAGCACATTCAGCTCTTACTACAGGGACCACAGAACTAAAATGACAGAGTTGTTGCTACTTTCTGCCACTGCTTCATTGTTTGCAAGAGGCAGTAGATGCAAACAGGACTATGCACAAGCTACAGAGGAACACCTGAATAATGCCACTGCCACCAGCAGTGGTAGGAATGTTTTCTGTTTACAGCTACCATATCTTTCCTCCTGTGCTATGAAGTAATGAACAAGGACTTTCTGCTGCAAATCCACACATAAATCTACTCAGATGTGTACACACACTTATACTCATGGACTTGCTTCAATGCTGCATGGAATTTCTCCTGAACTCCAAGCAATGAAGTACGTTATTACTCAAGTCAGCATCCTTACCAACTCCATTTTTGTTATCTGTTAATTTACACTTACAAGACTAATAACTGGATTTACACAGCATTAAAGGCTGATAAAAACTCACTGAAACAGTTTTTTCCAAAGAATCTAAAAACATTAGTGAATCTAAATTGTCATAATAGAATAACATAATAAAATCCGTGAAATTTAAAAAAAAGCATGGAAATTAAATTCCAGATTCAATTGGCTTATTTTGTTTCTTTAAGAAGAAAGATCTTAGATCCTATTTTTGAAAATGTCCTGCATAACTAGGAACAGATCTGTGTCTACCTTTCAAAGGAGATAATTTATAAATGAAGCAACCACAGAGAGAATATTTAAACAATTGAAAGTACAAAGAACATGTAAGAAAAAGAGAAATTAAGCTATAAGATGCAAGCTGTGAAAGTTGCCACCAACACTATCACAAAAAGGCTTTCCCTCTGCTCCCTGCTCTAGAATACCCAAACACAAATCACATAGCTGGAGATGTTCCCTGCAATGGGAGCTGGATATTCTGCCTGCACCTTGTCAAATACTTAAAACCTGAAGTGGAGGCTAAGTGATTCGTAAATGCCTCTCTTGAGCATTTAAGACTTTTCTGCCCTTGGGTCTTACACCTCAAATGCCTAAGTTTAGCCCTTTACAGGCCTGCTCCCTTCACTGCTGAACTCTTTATACTGCTCCAAACCTTCTCAGCCATGGGTCACAAATTACAGTCTTGTCAGTTCTGGCAATGTTTTACGAAGCTTGGTGTCTTTTTTAAATCCAGCTACAGAAGTCAAGAGATTGCATCACTCTTCCAGTTTATCACTATTTAAAAACAAACATGTCAGTTCCAGCCCTTGGCATGCTTGTAAAATGCCTGAAAATGTGTCATGAAATCAGTCCCAAAGCTCACCATCCTGTATTTGGCAATACAAGAATCAAAGAGTTTATTAAAAAAATCCAACAAAACTAAACCACAAATTTAAGCCAATCTTGTAATTTTTGGTGCTTGGTTCATGATTTTGAAAGCCTGAATTGGGCAGTTTTAAGTGCAGACATTGCAAATGCCCAAGCACAGACATACTGCTTCCCCATGGTTTGAAATAAAAAACAATCTCATTTGATTAGCTCTGCTGGAAGTAATATTTTAAGGGGTAAAATGATTCCACGAAGATGACATGTTGGCAATTGAAATGAGATGAATACAGTGCCTGTAAAAGTGCAATAATCCTTAATAACTAACCCAAAAGAAGCATCATCCCTGGGGATAAGACAATAATTTTCTCTTCATATTTAATTTGTTTTTAAGCTGCTTTTGAAACAAGACTGCTAAATAGTAAGTTGGGTTGTGATCCTAGACTTGACTGCTGGACTTATTATCATCATGCCATTGATTCAGCACACATTTCAACCTAACTCACAGGATACTAAATCAGGACGACTAATTCCTTAAGCTGTTTAAGCAAAAGATTGTTGAACATGGGGTAAATTTAGAGATAGGAGCCTGTTTACCACAAGCAACAAGGGAAAGATAATATATGGTGATCACTGAATGACTGCAGCAAACTCTGAAGACCCCTGTGTCTGAAGACTGTCTTCAAGACATTGCTATCCTTTGTAAATGCATGGAAGTCTTGGATTTCAATCTACATTAAAGGAGCAAGTGATGACAATACAATTAATTAGACTGAATAGTTACTTGCAAAAAGAACGGAAAACTCTGGCTTATGACAAAATCAGCTCAACCTTCATCTCAAGTACCCAACCTGTTAAAAAAAATATTTCAAATGTTTACTTTTCTTTTACTTTAAAAAACCCCCGACCACCACCATTCATCTGCATTCCTGAATAGCTCAGACTGCCGTGGTTTTATTCATTAGCTACTGGGGCCAGAGTCGGTGTGACCAATGCGTCAGATTCAGGTTTCAGCTGTGTTACTGAAACCCTCAGAGAACAGATAAGGGTGAATCAACCACTTCAGGAACAGGAATGTGCAGATAATACAGGATGTGCATGTTCTGCAAATATCCTTTGCAGAAAACCCTATTATCATTAGATAATTTCTCTAATGATTCATGTTGGCAGTGTTTACAATACAGTCTTGCGGAAAAAAATGTTAGGAATTATTGATTTGTAAGAAAAGGTAGTACTATAGGAAGCTAATATCCAACAGCTAAAGAAATGTTTGTCTTAAATGTGCACTTGGTAGAGTCCTTAAACTGCTCTTATTGCAAATATTCAAGGCCTGCTCTGAAAACCTTAACAGTCTGAACCTTTTAAATGCAAATTTGTCCTATTTATCTGGTCACAACCCAGTGAGTAGAATCCAATAACTCACTGGATTAAAGAATATACAGTTTTATATAGCAGAAAGTAATTGCAATTAACTAATATCTGGATGGCATTTAATACACATATTGTATTATTTCAATGAGATGAGTCAGAATAATATTTACATTGCTATGAGCATGTTTATAGAAATGGAATTTACAGTTCAGTAAGGTATGCAGTCATTATATCAAGAATGAGATGAGACCATTTAAAAACTTGTGAATTATTGATATAAATCCATTTTGCTTTGTTTCATGAACCAGTGCCTCTTGCAGTGGCACCAGAAGAGCAGTGCAGATTATAACAGGGGAAAAAAATAAGAGGAAAGAGCAAATGTGAAATGGTGCAATTTATTCACAATTGCTTTGAAATTCTATCTGAATTGTCTCATTAGTATTCACGCATTAGAGGAATGGTCCAAAATATGACAGCATGGGTAAACAGATGCAGAGCTTGGAATAAAGGTAATCTGACTGAAGTATTCATGGCCATTATTAAACAAATGTTATATTGCTTTTGGGTAAATCTGGTGATTTTATTTAATTTGACATTGTTTTGAAGATAGCAAGATAATACTGTTAGTTTCTAATGCTCTGAAATGAACAAAACAGGTGAAAATTGATGCTACATGGAATTATAATGTTTCAACAGTAGCTGGTTAGTTAAACTTCTAGACAGTTCATAAAGAATCTGCATACACTTATTAATGGACTTCTACATACAATATCAATGCTTAGAGTGCAGCAGTCCTGTTAAAATCTTTCAGTGAGTCACTATGCAAGGAGAGATTGTTCTATGAAGAAAAATCTTGGATAAGTATTTGTTTGAGACTAAAAATAAAGAAAACTCACAGATTTAGTATAGGAATGGTAGATAAGACTACAAAGCTAATATTTTGAAACTGCTTAAAAACTGCAATAAATTCTGCTGCCTACTGAAATTCTTAAGCAAACAATAAACCGGAGGAATGGAATATCAAAACCTCATTGCATAGTGTGTCATCGTTCTTTAATGAGGCTTTCCTTCAACCTTTTACCTCTTAAAACCTTTGGTGATCTTACATTCTGTACCTGTAAAATATTCAATGTTCTTTTTTAGAGATTAAACGTATAGGAAGTATAAAATCTTAGGAATGTACTGAGTCAAGTAATGATGCCAGAATTAAGTGTCAAAAAGCCCAGTTCAGGTTCAGAAGATTATTTTGAATGAATAGCTATAATTTCAACTAATTTATTTCAGAAGGGACTTCTCATATATACCCTTAAATATTTAAGATGCTTTGTACTATTTCTCAGGAACTCAATCTTCTCAAAGTGCTTTTTTTGTGTTCACTTGAAGGCAGCATGGACTTAAAACAATACTGCAGGGAATGTACCGTTCCATAAAGCACATAAGGATGGCAGGATCCAGGAGACACAAGGCATAGAAAATTGTCAAAAATGATTAGATGATACAACACATACGGCTCTTGAGTCATAAGTTTCATTTATGGTGACTTCTACTTCCAATAGATAGGATATTAAAAAAGGCAATAAAAATGAAGTTACGTGAATAAACTTTCAAAAATGAGTGGAGTTCCACCAGTGATCGTCTCTGCGCTGGTAGAGGTAGAAGAATGGGGATGTCATGAATAGGGCATCAGTCACTACAATAAATGAGCCTCAATGCGGAGCCAGTGGAGTCCCTGGCGAACGTAACGAACCAGATTGGTCATACTGCTGTGTTGTGTTAAGGGTCCCATCACTGAGTCCAGGTCTACAAAGAACTCTGCAATACACAAGAAACAGAAGCAATTGTTTCAGGCAATGGTACAGAAATAGAGGTATTACCATGATTTCCCACCCAGAAGCGGCACAGTGTTATTAGTGAGTTCTAAAGACAGTTGTGCACATGAGCACATGGTCTGTAAGAAAGAATTTTAACAACAACAATATATTGAAACAAACCAAATTAGATTATCCATGCTGGAAGTCTAACACAGGATGGTATGAGTGGTTGCCAGTAGTCTTCCTTTAACTCTGATGATCTGCACTTTCAGTTTTTTAGGATTAGGTTTGCTGACTGTATGATTTAAAAGCTGGCAATGAAATCTTGAATTACTTTTCCATGCTGAACTCTTCCCAGACATGAAGGGCTAGACTGGATCTTTCCAGAGTAGAAGACCTTTCTTGCTCTTTGCTCTACCCTCTGATTTCTCTTACTGACATTGCAGAAGTTTTAGCCTTCTGCTCATCCTGCTGCTGCTGCAGCCGCAGGCCCCAGAGGATGAGTGTGGGATGGGAGCAGGGGAGGAAAAGGAGAGAGACAACACAGCAGGAAAATAACACCTTGGAGATGGGAACCTCTAAGGGGGAAGATTCCCAACCCTTTGATTCCTGGTCAGGAAGGGTCAACAGGAAGTCACTAAACAGAGAGCCCCAGTTAGGAAGTGACACACCAGTTTACTTTATGTCATGTGTTAGATGCTCTCTGGGTGAAAGACTAATCCTGCTAGGGCAAACAGACATTTCCTAATTGCTGTCAATGGAGAATTGAATTGTGTCCTATATTCTCCCACAGATCTTTATGCTCGCTGGGGCATAGGCATTCCCACATATACAACACTTACACTATATTTAGGCAAGTGGGAACCTGCTCTCAGTTAAAGCCCTTCAGAGCTCAGATAACACCCAACAATCACAGTAAGGAATGGCTGAGCCCTCACATTCTCACCCTGTCTGCAATCCAGTGCACTGAGCCAGCCAGCACTGCATTGGCTGCACTTCAGGAGAGCAGATGCTGGGTACAAAATCATTATCAGTACTTTCTTCAGTGAGTAAGTGCTGCTTTGAGGTCTTCTATCCAAGTATTGACAGTCTGACCCTGGTCAGCTTGGGAGCTACAGCAGTATCAGAGCACAAAGTGATTTGGCTGGAGGCAAGCATAATGAGAGCTCAGGGCTAGCACCAGTGCTGTTCAGATGCTGCAGCCAGCAGCTACTTTTAATCTTCCTTTCTCTCTCTTTCATTCCCTCATCCAGTGTAAAATCAAAACATTTTGAAATTAAATAATGCACTATTTTGTTTGCATTCTAGAGATCTCATTCTAGGCTCAAATAAACAATAATTTTTTTAAACACTGAGAATTCACCTTAAAGCCAAATTTCAGGTTAACATTTCCTGAAAAAGCTACAAGCACTGAAGCCACTTAATAATTCTATGCATGAGTGTCATGGGGTGACTTTACCTTTAAGATAGCTTTGGGAGCTAAGGAAGTTGAAGCTGCTGGTGGCTGATGGGAGTCTTTTCTCCTGACCAATTATTGGTCATTTCTAAGAATTGACAGCAGTTTTGACCATTGAAAAGTGAGATCAACTTGTGAACACCACCTTAAGATGTAAAGCCAGAGTTCTCTTGCCCTCTCTTTGGTTTCCAGCTTCTGAAAAGGTAACAAGGCTCTGTTTTGGCCTCCTCCTCCACCACCCCCTCCAGGCTGGACAAGGCCGCAGAGGGCAATGGGGGATAAACGGAGCCAGCCAGCTTGGCTTAGTTTGCAGTTTCTGTTGCTGGACTGAAACCTGACACCATGAACATCTGCAGCTTTTCCAATACTTTAATTCTTTTACTACCTGGATAAAACATACAGATTACTCCTTTTCCCCAGAGAGACAGAGAGACAATCAACATGAAGAAGACAGTGAAGAAAAGAGTTAAGTTTTAGATGGGGAAGAGAGAATAAGGAGCTGCTTTATAAGCTGAAATATTTTTCTGTTAAAGCTATGGAGATGGACAATAGTGTTCTGAAAAAAAACCTCCTTTAATTCATGACAGAGTATATTGGGAGGAATGGAGTGTTCAAAGTGTGGATTTTGAGCAAAAAGTAAAGTAATTGTGATACAGTGAGGTGCTGGAACAGAGTGAAGCAAAGATTTGAGGCCTTAAAGGGCAATGAGAAAACTGTTTTCCAGAAAAGCTCACAGAGACAGATGAAGAGAACTTTTGCGTTTGAATAACTTATCCTTAAAAAATGATATCCCTAGACTCATGGCCCATACACACCTCAGAGTGATGTGAAATGGGAAGAGTGAACTGATGGCAGATTTCCGGGCAGCTGGCATCAGAGAAATAGAAAACTATAACAGAAATAGTTTTCTAGTGAGAAACTCCATAGATTAGCAGAAGAAGACTTCTGTTTCTCTACAAAGGCTGCTGAAAAGACTCTAGTAGGAATTGGGACTGTTTTAAACACCCAAGTTCCAAAGTTTTTTGCCTCTATGTTGTCATGTGAACAAGGGAATGGTGGGTAGTGGGGGATAAAAGTTTTCTGGAGGTTTATTCTGGTGTTCTTATTCTTGTGGTTTTATTAATAAACTTTCTTTATTTCCTTTTAAGTTTTAAACCACGACATTTATTTGGTGTGTTGGCCAGGAAAATGAAATTGGCAAATCTAAACCACTACAATGAGAGAACAAGTTTTGCTCCCTACAGAGCTGAAAGTTTTCTACTGTAGAGAAGAAGTCTTACTTTCTTCAGAAGCATAAAGAATTTGATCTGATCTTGTAAAGTCAGCAGAAAAATTTGATGTTATCTATGGTGAACAACACCACTTTAGGTGATCCAACACAAACCATCCCATGGGCTTTGTGAAATTTGCAGTTTAGTTTGGCCTGCTACAGATGCAGATTTATGCCAAACTCCATCTACTCTCCCCACACTCTCAACTCTCTGGACCAGGGGAGATTCCACCAGAGGTACATGGCAGTATGTTCCTGCTTTACTTTTCAGAACAGATCAGCTTGGCAGGTCACAGTTCTGCTGTTCTCCCTCTTGCATTTTTATTTTAATGGAACATCTTTTGTCCGGCTGATAAAGAAAGGCTTCTTCTGTCTTCTGCTCTGAGCCAGCTGGACATGAGTCAATTTCAAACTGGGAGCATGCAGGTGGACTCAGAGGAGCACAAAACCTAAGCTGACAGCCATGGACAAGGGACAGCTGCACAGCTCCTACAACATGGAGGAAGTCTTGAGACTGCATGGGTATGATGTAAGAAACATTTATGACAGCAGTAAGACCCAGAGGTAATTGCTATTAGGCCACAGTTTTATACCCATCTCAGGACAGATCATCAAGGACATATGCAAGACACACCCTGTGATTCAGAAGACAACAGAAACAATCAGAGCTGACCACAGAAACCCACAAAAGTGACTGAATCTGGTTGGTTTTGGTTTTATTTATTTTTTTTTAATGAACTAAATTTTTTATCTTATCATGGTTTCTTTGCAGGAATATGGGTGGTTTTTTTTGTTTTTACATCATTCTTATTTTAATGGGAGGGGGAAAAAAATCTCACTTTTTATAATGAACTGACAGCCCAAGCTCCTGAGAGAGAGGCCAAATGATGACCTGGCACTCACAGCAGAGTCTGGGGTTTGTACTGTCCTGTTTGCTGTCATGGAGCAGTTTTGAACCTCCAGTCCACAGGCCAGTGCATCAGAGATTGGGCAGTGCACCAAAGCTGAGACAGCTGGCAAAGGTGGATTGGAGATCACTGCAGAGAAAGGGGTGAATCCTGTTCCAGCCAACAAGATAAAGGTGATTTGAACTATTTGAGAGGTGCTGATAACATCTACTAAAACAGTTACAGCCAGTTTTCATGAAACACTATAACATTTCTCACATCAAAGTGTCTTGAATACATTCTTTTTTAAAGAGAATCCCTCATGTGGTATGATGAAGACCTGCGGAGATCTATCAAAAGCTCTCATACACTTTTTGCTACACCATGATTTTTTCAAATTGCAATTTGTGTTTAATCATGCAACTTAAAAGCAAATACTTAATCAGAAATGAGGTATATTTCCAGAAAATATATAAAGGCAGACATGGTATAGCATGTAGGAAAAGTAGATCTCTCTCCAATGGTTTATAATACTTAAATGAAATAAAAAGTAACATGAACTTTGCATTCCCTGTAATGTGTCTGCAGGTTGTGAAACAAGATATGAAAGAACAGGTCACAACCTTAAATGTCTTGCTCATGTAAGAAACCCTTATTCATGCATGCAGTCCCAGTAAAGTCAAAGGGACTGCTCATCTGAATAAAGAGTGTTCCTATATGGCTTTGCAGAATTGGATTTATTTGATCGTAAATCAAAATGAGAACAAAGAAGAGAGTAGGGAGGAAAATGCAGAAAGAGAGTCAGCAGGTTTTTCTCATCCAGCTCTAGGACTGATTACAGCAGTAGCTGGGTACATTTTCTGTCTGCTGGCTGAATGCCTGAGCTATTTTGATTTAAAACCATGTAGAACATTTAACAACTCCACAACACACAGGGCTAATTACAAGATTATCACCATCTCTTCATCCTACCAGTGCATCTTTTTGCATTCCCACTGTAACATTCTGCATTACATTTGACAGGGAATTGCTTTCATATTTTGTGAAAATGGATGCAGCAATGGAAAAAATACAAAATGACTGCACTGCTACTAAATTAATCAATGTGAGCAAAGACAAGAAGCAGTGGGGAGGACTGGACAGAACTTCTAATATTGTTCCTCATCCAGGGATGGATCATTATGACCCACCATTCAGACATAAAACTCTATAAATCTCAAGCTCAGTTTCTCTAAATCAGTGGAAATTTGCCACTGACATTAATGGGAGTAAGATCAAACTGCATACACCAAGAACATTTGTCAGGACAAGTCAGCCATCTGAAATCTCACTATAATTTAAGAGAATGAACCAACTCATGATGAGACTATTTCAAAGTTAGGCTCTGCACCTCTAGTGTCAAAGGCAGCTTTTTCAGCAACTTCTGTAAGACCAAAGCTGGAATCTGAATAATTACATTGTCATGGGGAAGTTCACAGCTGGCCAACAATAGGCCAAATTTGTCCCTTAATTCTAAGTCAGCCACTCCACTATACTTGATAAAACCCCGTCACAAACTGCTTGCCAAAACTCCTTTGAAATGACTGTGGTAAAGACTTATATTTTATTGTTAGGAACAAACAGATTTGCAATCCAGTCATAGGAGAGTCAAGGTCATAGCTTTCAGTGGACATCTCCTACTTGGACTCCCCACATAAATGTAACATCCAATGTTTGCTTATTATCCTAGCTAGCATTTTAATAGTCTTAAACCTGTTGACAGAGCACCCTGAAAATAACCTTGGTGCTCTATGAGAGGCTGAAACTGTGAACAAATTTGCAGACTTAAAAGCTCTCCTCACTTGGGGTTTGTGTTTGCTAAATTATTTGCCAGCTGCTCTGATAACCCCATGTTCAGCATGTGTTACACATCCTTCTCTGTGCCTGACAAGAGAAGATATGCATTGGCTACAGCAACCAGCAAGCAGATTTGGTCTGTTTGCTCAAGCTGTCACAGTTATTCTCTTAGATACGGTGGTTCTGGGTCCAAATCCAGAGAGCACAGGGAAAGCTAAAGCTGGGAGCCAAAGCGGACACAGAAAAAGCAGAGAGGGTGGCACCTTTGTTCTCCTTGGTCAGCTTGTCAGCCATGTCCCAGTGCTCATAGCTGCGCAGGACGTTGTTGGTGATGTTGACATGGCTGGCAGCCATGTGGTGGATGCGCTGGGGGATGGTGATGGTCCCGGCCGAGGACGAGCAGGTGGTCCCTGTGCTGCTTCCAGCAGAGCTGACGGGGGATGGGCTCAGGGACATGGGTGAGGGCGTTTCTGTACTCCTGCAAGAGGGAGAGAGAGAGTGAGTCCCCCTCACACCACCCACTTCACTGCCATCCTAAATGCACTTGAAAAGTTAACTCTGCACCCCAGTCAAGGGAGAGTGTGCAGTGGTACCTCCTGACTTCATGAGAAAGGATATCTTATAAACTGGGAATGACGGAAAATAAAAAGGGATTTAATTACCCTTTTAAATGAACCTGTTATTTAAAAAAAAAACAACTATCATAAAAATAGAGCAATCTTTCAGAGAAAGAAGCATCTCATAGCTGTAATGATTTTTCTACCTGCTGCCAGAAGCTGCAATGGCAGTTAGAAAACAGTGTGCAGTATTGGCTTATTATCAAAGTATTTTCTGGAAACCACAATGACAGTTTGCTCCAAAAACAGTCACCAAAATAAGTAAAGAGCAAGCCTTAAAAGTACCCTGCAGAGCAGTATTAAGACCTGAGGGTACTACAGGATTTTGAATATCTCCATAGGATTATTTCAGGCTATGGAGATTTGTTCTAATTGCCTACAGTTCATCCACATAGCTCTGCACAGTGCAGTGTTTTAAGTTACCTACTTTGTGAGGCACTGATGTTCTAATATAGATTTTCCTTTAATTCTAACACCATCAATTAGGAATCACCTGCTGGCTGCAGGCAGTGCAGTGGTCAGCACAGCAGGCTCTTGTTTAGAGCTGTGTAGTGCTAAATGCTCACAGAACAGCTATTCTCTTGGAAAACTTATAGGATCATGGAACTGTTCAGGCTGGAAAATACCTTTAAGATTATCGAGTCAAACAGTTAATCCAGAACTATCAAGTCCAGCAGTAGCCCATGTCCCCACATGCCATGTCTACACCAAGACACTTTTAAATATCTCCAGGGAAGGCAACTCAACCAAGTCCCTAGACAGCGTATTCCAGTGTTTGACAACCCTTTTGGTGAAGAATTTATTCCTAATCTTCAATCTAAACCTTCCCTTGCACAACTCGAGGCTATTTCTTCTTGTCCCATAACTGGTTACTTGGGAGAAGTAAAAAGAGCCACCCTTCAGCAGATCCACACTCCTGCCCAACTTGGTGTCACCCACAAACTGACTGAGGGTGCCCTCAATCCCCTTCAAGATCAAAGGGGCTCTGGATCATCAGTAAAGATATGAAACAGTACCAAGCCCTGGGGAATACCACCGGTGACCAGCCCCAGCTGAATGCAATTTCAATCACCCATTTGAAAGCACTTGCCTAAACAGAAGCATTCTATTTTCTGTGGAATACACTTGAGATGCAGGGCCAAGACACTTCTGGCACTCTATGCATGAAGCAAAGAGACCAAAACTCTCCAGACAGGGATGTTGCAACCCCTCCCTGGACACGCAGTTCTAGGTGCCTCATCCTGTGCAACAGCATCAAGCTCAGTCACTGAGCCTGATCCAAAGCCCAGGATGGAAGGGCATGGCCTTTTGGCTTTAAAGGCCGCTGTCAGTGGCCCTGCCTGGGCACAGACATGGTGACACCTCGCAGGTGCTGCAGGACAGACTGACATGACAGCACAGCCTTGGGATGAAAGGCACCGATGGCAACAGCTTTTGCTGCAGATTTTACGGAAGTGCCCTGCTATTACCTGTGCTCAACAACAGGGTCCTGTGAGACATTCTTTTCCCAGAGCTGGAGATCACATTGATTTGGCAGCTTTTAGCTTTTTACCCAGCTTATGGGTTAGAGTGAAGCATGTCCTAATGCACAATTGCTTTATTTTTAAGTCTCAAAACATCCTGGTTACCTGACTTGCCACAGTGCCTTTATTGCACAGAAGAGCTGAACTATACTAGATTAGGTCTGGGAGCAGTTAAAAATGATAAGTATCTGAGGAGACCAAGAGTATTTTGTTAGAGCCACTTACAATCAGCTGACGCACTTCTGCTAAATAAAGCACATTGTTCATTGGATTTACCCTGTTGTGCACAGCCATTATTACTGTGGTGAGTCTACTAAATCTCTGTATTTTGTGCTTTCTGTCACTAGAGGTGGGAAACATTTCTGTAATGAAACCAGGGAATATTTGTTTCATTGCCAGGATGGAACCCAGGCCAACTCTGTAGAGGTTCACAACCCTTTCAAATGAGTAGGCAGAAATTCCAGTAAGCCAAGCTGTGGTTTTTGATGGATATGAGATCCTGACTAGACTACACTCCATGGCAATGGATAATCTTTGCTTTGTTAAAAGAAAATATTTGAGATTACCCCACTGTCCCCCCATCCTGCACCAGGCTGCTGCTCCATTTCCACTGATGCCATACAACGGATGGTGTTTAGTCTTTTTTTCTGTGATGTGTGAATTCTCTTCCCATCTGACATAAATTTGCAGGGGATTAAGAGAAAACTGTAAAGCAAGTAGCCCTGGGGAAGGCAGAGCACTTGCCAATGGCAGCACCAGACCTGTGACAAACCTTGGAGCCACTGGGAGCCACCTGAGATAGATAGCAGCTCTGAGCCAGCTGGAGAGCTGTTTTCTTCTGAGACTCCGCACAGAGGGACTGAGTGTGGACTGTGGTCTTTGTGTGTTGGGTCACAGGTGTCACAATAATGCTGTTATAACAAGGCCTTGTCACTCAGTTACTCTCACATGTCAAGTGCTTCCTGCTCTGAATAAAAGAGATGTAAACTTCCAGAGCTTTCCCTTCCTTATCTCCAAAGTTAGTGGGAAGAGACTGATCAGCTGGGTGTTATGTTAGAAGTGATGCTGACCCAAAGGCTGAGTTTCTGCTGCCTACTTTGCGGCCAGACAAGAATTTTCTCCTCCAGTCAAAACCCACTTATTCTCAAGCCTGGACACCTAATAGTTCTTTTAAATAGTGAGGGAGATGTCATCACCTGCAGAGCACACACTTCAGACGTATCTATTATAGGACAGGAATAAAAGGACAACTTCTGCTCCATTAAATGTTTATGTACAAGCCCCTTAAGGAACAGAAGAGATGTTATGCTCCAGTAGACTACTTGATCACTATAACTTTATGTTAACACCTATGTATTTTTATTACAATACAAGGTTTCACTAACACTTAAATGCCTGGAAAAACTGGCACATAATGAATAATTCAATTTATTAGTTTTTTTTCCAGTGTTAAAATATCTTTTCAGTTTTTATTTAAAGTGATTTCTTATTTCATCACTTTAGTTTGTGTTATAATCTGTACTTTAATAGCTCTATACATACATATTCAAGATGACTTTCAGTATTTGGGGTGAGTATATATGCATATCTATACCCCAAAATAGTTTGAATTATCTGAGGCAATATTTCATTTTAAGCAAAATGCTGGAATTTTTGGTTTTCCACTGATTGAGAAAACAAAGTCTGTTTGAAAACTTCAGTTCTTTGTGTGCTAAACTTCAACCCCTCCTTTTCTGTTTCCTTAGAGTGTCTAATAGTAATTTCTTCTTCTGAACCATCAGAAAGAGACCTTTAACAATAATCATTTTCACCTAGAATTTAGGTGAAATTTTCATCTACTCAAACAAAGATTGAAAAAAAAAGTGAAGTCCTTCACCTTTGTTTTACTTGTATCTGGATGTGTGACCAGGACAAAAAAGCAGGAGAAATGTGTGTTGGCTGGAAACAGCCATTGCAAGGTAAAGGTAAGGATGCAGCAGCAATGCACCTCTACTGAACAGCAGATCATAACTGACCTGACTTCATATTTAAGGTGTAGGTGTTTTAACATTAGTATGAAGCCACTGATAATTGGCTGATTAAGTGCCTTTGCATTTTCACCACTATTATACCCTCAGTTTTATCAAACAGCAGTTACCATATATCAATGAAATATTCATTGGTCTTTCACTGCTGAATGAATCATTGAAAAATCATTGCAATGAAGGTTAACTTTACTTTGGCTTCCTAAAGTGACATGGTACTTTCCAGTTAATTAATTGATATTTTTATGGCCTTCATTTGGCTTGAGAAGTAAACTGTCAAAAAATCCAGCATTGACCCACCATGTCTGATTTTAGACTTGAGGGGCGTTTGCACAAATGAAGGTGTGATTCAGGTCTTCTTCCTACCCATACTGGATCACTCACAGGGGCATTTGACTTATTCCAGTGGGAGCCCCTCACTCCCATGAGCCCAAGGCAGTCGTATGATCAATTCTGTAGCCCAGAAGAACAGTTTCTACATGATACATGGTCAAAATATACCTGCAGCTCCCAAAACACTGATCCCATGACTTGTCCTTTGCCTTTAGAGGCAATAAAACACTTCCCCTCCTCTTGGAACAACTTGTTCCCAGACAGAAGTACTCAGTAGAAAATACTCACTTTCCATTGCCGCCCCAAGGTGAGGGGGCCTGAGAGGCTTTTGAAGAGTTCTGTAAGTACAAAATCAAAATGTAAATACATGTGATGCAAGTACATGAATACTGATGACACAAGGCTCAACATTCCCCCTGTTCATTTCAAGAGCTACAGTGCATGGAGCAGAAAAGCTCTGATCGGTCCCTTATTATATCTGATAATTATATCAGATATCAGACCCTGAATTATCTCTGATAATTAAGTGGCTGGTGGATGATTGGTAGGTTCCAACCAATAGCTTGAAAATAATTTGATGAAAGAGGGAATAAATTCCAGTAAAAGCAGATGTAGGTTAAAAAAAAAAGTGGTTTAACTACCACTGAAACTTATTCTACAAAGTAAGTTCTTCAGAGTGCAAATGACTGCTTATCTTTAGAGGGACCTTCAGTATTTTAATAAGAAATAAAAAGAATTTCGCTTGATGCTTTCATGAAATTGATCCCTCCCAAGTTGCTTAGGAAAGGTGGCCTGGGATTCAGACAGTGGTATAAGTAAAATTATTAGCAAGGATCTGCTTGAATGCCTAAATACTTTTTACATATTTTAGTTGCACAAATTGATTTTCCTTACCTGCTTACTCATTCTGCCTTTCACGTCTGTGTAGCACCTTGTAAAACCCTGTACAAAAAGACTGCCGAGCAACAATAAAGCCCAGGTTTTTCCAGTCTTGCTCAGACTGAGTGGTATCTTAGTTCCCATACAAAGTGGCAGTATTAGGGCTGAGTGTGCCTTCTGAAAACAATCATTCAGCTCTCTTGCTGAGAAGTCAGCACACACAGTGAAAATTCAATCAAGTTTTACAAGTTCTCTGCAAAGTATTACCCACATTATTACAACACTCATCTGGTTACTGTAATCACTATTTTGCATGGGAGGCACAGAGATTCAGTGGAGCACAGACAGTACCCTTGACTTCTAAACTACAGCTCACAGCCCACCATTTCTGACCAAAGCAGAAAACATTGTCCAAACCACAGCACTGGCCTGGCCATTCCTGCACAGCAGCCACTGCTTGTCACAGAGGATGTGAGCATGACTTGGGGTCTTTCACGTATGGAGTGCATATAGGAAAGAGGGAGATCTTAAACTGATTCTTAAGACTGAAAGTCTTCAGAAACTGAGAAGCTTTTACTGTTAATTTCTCCTGTCTGGGGATTGGACCAAACAGTATCTGGAGACAAATAATAGCTCTGTCAAGATTAAGACTAGATCTTGGAAGCAGTTATTTGATAATGAAAATATTTAGCAAAAATATTTCAATGACTACTGACAACACATTTTCGAAAACTGAAAATCTTCCTCAAACTTTCAGAGGAAATACATCACAGGGTGTCACTTTTTCTAATCGTAAAACGTTTGATTTCAATTTAAAAAATGATCACTTTAGTGGTATTTTATTCCAAGTTGCCTCAAATTTCAAAATTTATTTCATGATTAAATGGCTATTTTCTTTTTTGAAATTTTAAAAGTATCATTTTGAAGCTTTTAATTGAAAATTAATCAGAACCAGTTCTGCCCACAAACGGTTTCAATTTGAACAAAGTGGCATTTGTGAGGAAAAATATAAAGAACAATTTAGATGAAAAATTCCTCCCCAGCTCTGCTGTAAACAGTAGGCTGCTTCTCACAGTTAAAATTGTGTAAAAGTTTGAATAAAAACTCTATTCAAACACCTAATCTGTTTCACTTGTATTACAGATTCTTGCTAGTGAACACTAGCAAGAGAATATAGTGCAGCAATACAAAACTAACACACAGTTAATAGCTCCCACTCTTTTCTTCGCCTGCGCCTTTATTACAGAAAGAACCTGAACATATAATCTGTATAAACTCAAAGACTGCTTCTAGCAAATGAGTTACAGTGCCCATAGCATATACACTGTAACATTACCTGAAACACTTAGCTTCAACTGGATGCCTATGCCTAGCATCCCTGATTTATCTATTTTATCGCATTTTTATTTTTTTCTCTTATTTTGATTTACATTAAAAGACATTTTCTTACGCTGGGAGTAATAAATATGTTCTTGATTTCAACCAACTTGCACAGTTAGGGAAAATAAAGTGGCTTTAAGGCAAGAAGAGAATCTCCCCTGCTCCTGCCATTATTTTTTTTAAGAAATCATTACTTTCTGCAGAAAAGGTTTATTTGTCTAATAATCCTTTCTTTAAGATACAATCTACATTCATCCTGGATAAAATCTGAAGCAGCTGGAATACTTTTCATAAAAATCCTGAGGTTACAAATGTGCATAGTTCACATTTAATTTGTTGTGCAAATTCCTGACTGAAAACTCCATGAGCACAACAGAGGCACTCCTAATGGCACAAGAGAGCCCCCATTTAAGCATAAGATTAGGACTAACATTACTGAAGCTGTACAGAGAACTGTGCACATAGAGGACACATGGGTAGTCAGGACTATGGCTGCTACTGGAGTTTTGACAGTACTGGAGTTTTGGAGTTTTATAGCAGAAGGACCATTTTATCATCTTTTACATGAAAATATGAAAACTGCAGTGTTAAAGGTTTTTACAGGTTTGCAGTACCAATATGTCAAAGCCTGGAACAAATTCATAGAGGCTGAAAACACCAACAAAAATGACTGATGGGCTGAAAAGCCATTATAATTACATAATTATAGAATAATATGTAGTAATAAAGTAAAAGAATTAATGTATGCTTCAAACAGCATTAACCAGTGAAATATAAGTAACAAAATGTCAGAGTGGAAGAAAGAATCTATTTCTCTCAATCTAGGAACAGTGAGGATCTATCATTCTTACACTGGGTAAACAGCATTTGACAAGGTAAAACAAAACATCCCCAAGTCATGAACACTGGATCTCTCCTCAGTTAAGGCAAACCTTCAAGATGCAGGTAAGGTAATTTGAAGTTCCACAGAAATAAAAGGAGAAATCTCTGAAACTGCAATAAGCTTCAGGAAATCTCACTGAGTCTAAAATCTAAACTCAAGTAATTACAGCCTAAATAATTACTTTATTATGTTTCACTGGGGGTCAGGTCATAACCACTTGCACATTGAAACCTTGGAAGAATCAGAAACTTGCATAAACATTACATGGTGTTGAGAATAATGTTATTTTTGTAGAATTACTGAGTATGGTCCTTTGAATTGAACAAGTGACTAATCAAAAAATCCCCCAAATCACTTCTGTCCCAATTCCCTGGCAGCCATCCTGCCTGCATTTCCCATGAGAGAAGTTAAATGTGGGACTTTTAAGTCATGCAGTTGTACTTGAGAGAGCTCTTAGTGCTGGTATGAATTTAATTTCATATCAATAAATTAAACAGAATAAAGATTACCTTAAAATATTCCATCAGAGATCTGGAGTACTTCATAGCATGGTCCTTCTTTAGTTTAAACATTCTCAAGTAGAGAAGTGATAAGCATCGGTAGCTGTGGTAATTAGAAAAGGATTATGTTAATTCCATTGCTTAATGAAAGTCATAAACTGTAAAAAAAAATAAAAAGCTGACCTATATTTTGCAGTTTCTGTTCTAAGGTTACATTTTGAAGCATAAGCAAATCAAGAAAAAAAAAATTGGTCAAAAGCATTAAAATCCCATCTTGGTAAGAGTATAAATTAGAAGAACAAATGTTTAGTCAGCTGCTGAAGAAATCCATTAGTTATCCTTTAATAGTTTAATGGAAAACAAGAATAATGATCTTCTGTAAGCTGCTTAAGTAATTCAGTACTTTTAAAGTCCTCCTTAAGATTTTAGCTGCTTCTCTCATTGTCACAAAGTGACTTACCATAAAACTGCTAATTTCTTGTCCCCTTCTGTGGCAGAAGAGCCTGTGAAATTCTTGAGTCTCATTGCATACCTTGTCAGAAAGGTGAGAGATAAGAAATTGAGAGTTAAGATGTTTCCAAAAATAATCAGATATTCTTCTCCAACCGCAACAGTTATTGGTCACAGTGCTCTGTAATGGAGATCAATGTAAAATTCAACAGAAAGCATCACTCAAAATCTGAAGGCCTTAGGTAAATCACCAATTTTTTGGGCCAAACGAACTGTTCTTGGGCGTATTAATGATATTATAACCAGCCAGCTAGACTGAGTCCCGCAAACATTTGGGATGAGTGTCGAACAGAAGCATAAGATCTTGGCCCTATATGTATCAAAATGTAAAGTAATATATAATAAGGTTATATGTGTATATATATAATACTTTGGGCTTGAATAATATCTTCAAAATACTTCTCATAAATGCTTCTTCAAAGCTTTTAATATACTTTATACAGAAAATGGTTTTACATGCAGGAAAAGTCATGTTCACAGCTTTTTTCATTCTTGGGTTCATTACTTTATGAATCTTGTGTACACGGTCTTCTCTCTCTATTTAATTGCTGCTGTCCAGCATTTGGATGATCAAGGATTGAGTATTCCTATCTCCTCTATCTTTTTTGGTTTTTTTCCTTTTAACTGAGCACACTCAATTCTGTGCATTAGTCTCTCGAAAATCAATTCATCACATAAAATCATTGTTCTGAGCCCTAATGCAATTTCACAGGTACTTGTGTTAGAATAAGTAATAGGGTTCAGCGTTGCATAAGAAAGTTTTAAGGTATCCAGGCAGTCTCGATGAGTTCTCATTTACAGGGAGGTAATGGAGTGCAGGCAGCTGTGCTGCTCTTCCCTGCCTTGCTCCCGCCACCCATCCCAAGCCCCAGCCTGCAGCTGTACCACCCCACCTGGAGTACTTCCTCCATGTCCTGTCCCACCTGCTCTTGGGTATTACAGTTCTCCTCAGATTGGATGAATGTGACCAAACAGAAAGATCTATGTCTCTTTGGGATTTCAGCATTACCACTAACTTAAAACACATTTGATAGATCTCTGATAGTCCAAATCTCTTTGATGCTCCACTTGCTTTCACAAATAGGTGTGTGATTCAGACAATCAGGGCAGACACAGCTAAATGCAAAAGGGGAAAATTGTGTTTCTGATGAAGTGAGGAGTAAAAGTGAGAAAAATATCCCTCTGTTTGTTATCTCACAGAAAAACTATGTTAGTATTAGCAGCTACACTGAGAAAATGTGTGCACAGCCACATACTTTCTTTGTACATCTAGCACTCACTGTAGCCCACAAGAATTTTGTCTTTGTCCATGGAGTTTTACTGAGCCTGTACCAGCCTGCTGCTCATCTGGGCAATCACCTCTTGTCCGTATCTGACCACCAACAGCAATTAAATGGACAAATAAGTCTCACTGGCTGCTACAAGATGCTGCATGCAACAGCTGGTGAATTAAACTCTACTTTTGGTGTAGGTGGTGGAATTAATCTCACCTGAATTAATCTATCTATATATTGGAGATCTATTATAACAAATTCTCGATTCTTCCACAGCCGAAAGCAGTTCCAGAAGCAGTTCAGGTACTGCTTCCATGCCAAGGTCTCCCTGTCCTATAGCCTGCAGCAGGACTGTGCCAGGAGCAGCAAGGCAGCGGGGCTGTTGATGCTGAGGAGTGCCAGTCACTCCAGGCCACAGCTGTGCCCTCACCTGACTCCCTGCAGGTCCTGGCCTTTTGTGAGCCACTCCTGGAGCTGCCATTCTCCGATTTAAGTGGTTCAGAGATTGTGGGTGAACAAAGCTTTTAGGTCTGTGCACTCTGAACAGACAGACTGCTGGACTGAGGAGCAATGATTTCAACTGGGCTGTGTGGTTTTCTTAAAAAAAATAAAATAAATGCAGGCTCCTATGAAGAAGCACTCCCATCTTTAAAGAATATTTATTTAAATACAATTTATTCTGCCATGCAGCTGCAGCTATTTAGTTCAGGACATGCTGTCAGACTGCAGGATGACTTGGGCACAGCAGAGCAAAGGCAGGTGGCTCCTTTTCTAAGTCCTCTGCTCTCCAGGGTTTAACATGGATCAAGTGTTGCATTAACATAGTATTTTTCTTCAGTGATTTCTTTAGATTTTCTCTTCCCTTTATGAAGAATGTAAAAACCATGTTTTTAAATATTTAACAGGCATATTATTTACCTGAGAGTAAGAGCTTATGATTTGATACATTTTATTATGCAAATACCCACTTATTCAAAATGTAAAACATTAATTATCTTGGCAGTCCCTAATAGCTAATCTGGCATGTTAAAAAAAACACCACTGACATATTAAAAACCAAATATTTAGGGCCTGATTTGCCTCTTTCACTTGTGCAAACTGCCAGTAATTACACTGACATTAACAAGGATATTCCCAGCATACACTGGGGAAAGCAAAGGTGCATCACAGTGAAGAGGAGACATCCTGTTGTTCTACTTACAGGTAAATTTAATCATGCTTGATTTCACTTTGATAAATTGCTCAAGTAAAGCGAACTTAGTTACTCAGGAGACTATTATTTCTATGGAGCAAACACTATGAAACAGCTATGAGGAGCAGTAGCAGATTTTAGAATAATAGTTCTGACATTTTATTAGTATGTAAAGACTCTCTCATCCATATTCTAGCCTATGAGTCTACAAAGCTGTATTAAAATTAATTCAGCTGATTCACATTCCTTTAACATTAAAAATATACTGTTTTCAAGACAATATATGCAGAAGCTTCCTCTCTGGCTGTGATCTTATATCCCAAGTTTCAGCTTTTCTCTTTTTTAACAGCCAAGTTATAAACCTCTAAAACTAGGGTTTGTAATAGAAATCCTGATAGACTCCCTTTAATGCTTTGAATTATAAAACTACACCTTTTAAAAGACAAGTGTCATTGCCAAACAGTGAAATTACTATACTTTATTTCCACCCACTACATTTCAATTTTAATTTTATGAATATTGCAAATTATAACACTCACATTATAACCTCTGAAGGGGATAATTTATAAAGGCAGTGTCCATCAATTATAAATTTTCCATGACATTAATAAAATGGCAAGAACTAATTATGATGACTTCTGAGATGAAGATACCTTGGACAAATCATTAATATGTTGAAATGGTATTTTTTTAAACATAGCAGGTTCTAATTATGACTGAAATGAGATGATGAAAATGATCACAGAAAGGACATTAACCTGATGAGTTCCACAGTCTCTGAGTACATGGTGTATGGAGATTTAGCTTCTAATGGATCTCGCTCCATAGCATTTCCACATTCGATGAAGGAGAGGGCAGCATCAGCATAATTCACTGCTTTACCAAACTTCTCCAGCTGAAATGGGAATGACACTGTCAAGAAAATCCTTCAGCCTTGATTTCTAGATAGGCAGATTATTCTACAAAGAAACACTAGCTTTAGGATGAAATCAAAGAGACACTGGTAGCTAAGAATGAATTCAGATAGTAATTAAGACAGGGACTATGTTTTTTACCAAATCTTTTCAGGGCAGTAAGCGGCTGAATGCTCCACAGAGGAAAGTCAGTGTATGTTCACTGACATCAGGGATTTACACAGGCAAGAAAGGGCACTAAGCATGTTTATGCACATCCATACTGCTCCTTGACAGATGAAGTAAGTTTGAATGTCATTATGCAAGGGTTAAGTAACAACTCCATGCCATTTGGCTGATGTCATATTCTGTGTTAACTGTTGGTCAAAAAAAAAAATCTCATCCCTTATATGATGAGTAAAAGAGCACGGATAAAAAAAGGAAGACAATATAGCACTGCTTAATATTTCATTTTACTAGGATTTTATTGCAAAAGGTTTTAGGCCTCATAATGGTTGTGATTAAACTGACTCAGACATACTGATTTCTTTTTTTATGTGTAATGAATATTATATATGACATTTTTATAGTACACCCTTTTTAATATTATTTAACATTTTTGGTTTTTGATAGCTGAATGTAAGGATTCTACTAATGTGGCATTTGATATAGGAGATCCAATACACTTTAAATAATTTAAAAATGTCCTTCTATGTCTCTATCAAAATATTTTTGATGCATCTGCATATGTTTCCACTCACAAAACAGAAGCCTATTCTAACAACATATTTAGCATAACATTTATTATTGGTCCAAGATAACAGTATACTTGTCTATGTGGCTCCTTCTAAGCCATAATTAGTTCTCTCTGCCCACCTTTAGTTTCAAGTATGGCTCCTGTGCATTGATTACGTACAAAGCCTTTGTATAATTGATAGGTATCAACTGAATGGTCAGAAAAAGGGAAATGTTTCTGACTGATCTCTCTCTATTCCAGTGGCTGCCTCTCAGCATATTCTTCAAATTCCTTTTTTCACTTTTAAAAAACTTCTATTAATTTTGGAAGATAAAAAGTCTTCCAAAGGTGACTTTTTGTGGTATGGAAAAAAGAATCTGGCTGCAAGCAGATTTAGTAGAGATACCGAATTTGAGCCAAGAGTGGGATCTGATTCTCTGGAGTAGGTGGAATTATTCCACCTCAGACATCATCTCAGACACGAACACAGTGAGGTCTCAGAGATCTCTTCCATATGGTATAGCCAGTTGCCACTGCAGCAGCCCACCCATATTAGCTGATCCCTTACTGCAGCCCCAGACAAGCAGAGGTTTTTATGAGGTTGCTCCCATAAGACATGAAATGTCCTGCCCTTCACCAGAAATCTATTTTCTCTACAAGCTCAAGAACACTGCTGCCACAAATCTCATTAACATTTGCTGACACATTTTGAGGTCACATGCATTATCTTTCTAACCACTGCAACACATCTTTCAATGCTGCCTGTGCTCTGTCAAGTCAGCACCAAGTAACCAGCAGCAATTGTTTCCATAGGACAAGTAACACTAGGGGATTGCACGCCAAATGTGTTACATGGAGATTATTTACGTGCAGCTGCATTGGGTGGCAAAAAAAAAAAACAACAACCCTTCAGATCTAAATAGCAAAAGGAAAAAGCAGATACGTTCATGGATATTTATGTCTGCCAACAAGTTGATCACAGTGAATGGCCTCACATTGGGGCACTCACAAACTGTTTGTGACAGGCAGGGCCTGTGTGCAGGCAGCAGTGGGATGTGCTGTGCCTGCTCCTCTTAGTGCTGCTTGAGAAACACCCCTGATCCTCCAGGCACAGGCAAAGGTAATAGCACAGGAGAAGAGTCAACACCTTGTGAGTGCATCTGGCTGCAGAGGGAGGTGAATTGACAGAGCACGTTGAGATCATCGGGAGCCTGAGCCTGAAATATTTGCTAGTGTGGAGCAGGTAGCCCTGTGCCAGCACCTTGTGTGCTTTGTTTAAAGGTCACCCAGCTGTGGGAGGTGTGAGCCTGCAGATGCCAGACTGTGGCTGGACGTGCTCTATTGAGCTGGCTGGAAGCCATAAAGCCACCTCCTGTAAATGGGCATGCTGGGAGAGATGACTGTCACCTTGCTGACAGTCGTAACAAGTGACAAAACCCTGAATCCACCTCACACAGAAAACACACTTGGAAACACTGTGCCCCAAGCCAAAAGGGAACCTGGAGAGCTGAAGCAGACAGCTTGAAATGTCAGCTCTCCTTCAGCTCATTCTCAGCAGAGGGAGAGACTTTTTTGTTTGCCTAGTTTGCTTTTTAAAAACATAGCAAGTAATTGTTTTTTGGGTTTTTTTATTTCTAAGCACAAAATCTCTAATGAGTAATCATAGAATATACATGCAAAAGTCCCAGACATAATAAAGCTGAGAGGTGAATAATCACCCAGCACTTTGAGGAGCAAAGTGGATTGCCACACTCCATTTTAGACATCTTAGTTAAATTAAGTAGAGGAGTCAAGTTCCACTAAGTCTTCCTGGAAGAGCCACTGTTCTGCACCCTATGTAGCATACAGGAGCAAAGTCCCTTCCTACAAAGCAAACGTTTATTATGGACACTTCAGAACTGGCAATAGCTTGCATAGAACGAATTATGGTAGAATACAATCTGTCAGATTATGTAGTTTTATCAAAATACTTGGCAAAATTAGACGAATCTTACTGGAATTTCATCTAGGGTAAAGCAAGTAAAAAATAGCACTGAACTACCTCACTGCCAGATTTTTTGGGAATAAGTGTTTTGTGACTTTATCAGTCTAAAACCATGCAATAAAAAGGAATATAGTACATAAAATTTAATTGTTTCAGATTTTAAACAACTGAATTGGAAATATCAGTTTTACCACATGATTATGGGGCTTGGGGTGATTTGCCTGTCTTTCTGCTATGGAATATTTCAACACTTCTGTTTTAGGTTTAAAATGAATAGGAAAAACAAATTTCAAATACACATCAACTTTTATAAAACCATCTTCCATACTTCATAAACAGCATGATTGTTGCTCCTTCCTGGAAGAAACACCAGCTATTTGAAGTAGCTGGTTTTTTTGGAACAAATACTTAAAACTTAGGAACGGTGTTCAGGGTTTAACTTGTGCACCGTGTGTTTATGGAGCACAGACCGAAGCATAGTTTAATCAATAGCATGCTTCCTCTTGGTCTGAGAGGCTTTAGATCTTGTGCAATAATTCCCATTTTCGACACTGAGTTCCACAGTAAAAAGAGACAAAAAACCTTTGATAACCTACCAGTGCATCTGCTTTATGCTTCAGCTTCTTAGCCTCTTGCATGTAATAATCTGCATTGTGAAGCCTAGAGAGACAAAATCAATTAATTCAAGTCCCTGCTTTCATATAGCTGGACAAATGTTTAAAAAAATTGCTGACTGCTTTAAAGAAGAATTTTGATATATATGCCCACTTATTTCTTTAAATCTTAGCTTGGTATTAATCTGAAGCTGCTGTATGCAGCGATATGATAGGTGACCAGAATGTAAAATAAGTAGCTGTAGAAACTGGCTGCCCAAAGGACCTATTAATGTGTGCTGAACAGAGGAAAAGGGAAAATATTTTAAACTAATTAAGTATAAGAAGTTTCCATTAGAGGAACTAAAACAAAAAAAAATGAAGAAGAATTACCATGAACCAACATTCACGATTCAAAAACATTTATCAATAGAATCTTCATTAATCAGTGACAACAACTCATTTGCCAAGATTAAAACTGTGTGTGCCTTTGTGCAGCACTATCCACGCAGGTGCCCAATACCAGCACTGTAATCAAAGATATTCTCTTTCACTGGGACCTCTGCTTGCACAAAAATCCCAAAGATCCCACAGAGCACAAAGTCAAGAAAACTTACACATCATCAAATGTTATTTTGGGTCTTCTGGACTCAGAATTCCCATTGGAAAGCGTTGGCATTGCAGACCAGATGTCTGACTCTAGATGACTGGTGTCAAGAAGAGTGTTGGCTGTGGGTGTACTGTGAGATTCTTCCTCCTAGGAAACACGGGACTGTTATTCATAGTTCAAACAAACACCTTCCAACAGTGTAAGTGCTCACATCCACCTTCCCTGACAAAAACCCTTCCCAGCAAACCAAAGGGTAAGGCATAAAGCAGCTCGCCTACCTTCATGTCACCTTACCAAACCAGCCTTCCCTTCTTTGTACCATGAGCCTAGTAGATTAATTAGAGAGTATGACTCTACTTCTCACCTGAGCTCTCACATGGACTCATGTGAGAGCTTCTAACCCTTTGGGGTTAGAAGAAGATTTATTTTCATTCTTTCTGTGTTTAGAAACTCACATGGAGTAATTTTGCACTTTAAAGTGTAAGTTTTAGGTGGATACCATGGTGTTACTGACTAGAGACACTGGTTACAGCAAGGGTGGGGAGATCTAATGGGACAGGGCTGGGTCTAAACTTCTTTCAAAGTGCATTAGTACATACTAATGTAATCCTTTTTTTCTATATTACTAGGAGCTAACTGTTAATGTGGCTGAAGAATCTGCTTGAATTTCAGCAGGGAACAATTTCCTCACTCCTGTTACGGAAAGAAGAATGGAAAGCAGTTGTGACTTTGCAATGATTAAAATCAGAAGCATAACAGATTTTAAATCAGGCAATTGCAAATTGCAAGCTTAGTCCCCAACCAGATAAGCTAAATTACAGATGGACCAATGAACTAGGGAAAGAAGTCTAATATATTTTGGGGGGAAAATAGTTCATATATCAAGATAATAGATTAACCCAGGATAAATCTGACTAGAGATGCTGGGATGAGAGGAAGAGGCCCTGCTGTTTACATAGCACTGTTTATTTGCTGACATATGCAGCTCATTTTGGCACTGATTTCAGTTGAAGGCGTGTGTATTACTGGCGCAGCTTGAAGTGACACAATGATATCAGAAAGCAACAGGGATGAATGAATAAGGTGAAGTGATTTGTCACCTACAATCCAATGCAACTTGTGAGTTTTACTATTACAGTGCAGGGTAACAACCTCTCTCAAAGTGGAGAACAGTGAAAAATGGGGCTATGCATGGCCTTTTGATGTGGCAGAATTTTCTTCTAATTTTGACAGTGGTACTGAGATACAGTTTGATACTATAAAGTAAGGATGGGATTGAAACTCTAGAGGAAGGACTATTTTGTAAAATGGGCCAAAACTCTGGAGTGTCTCTGTTTAACCTAAAAAAAGAATGACAAACTAATGTGAAATTTTATGTTGCTTTACTGAATTTGCGATCCAGTTTTGGCTTTTTTTTGTGTATTTTCAGAAAAATCCCCCTACCTGAATCTGGTGAAAAGCAAGAAACAAAGAACTGTCTCTGTGAGAACCACTGATGGGGAGATAGCCCTAACAGTGTGACATTTTTCTGGGGGAAAAAGCTCTATTTAAAAACTGTCTAAAAGCTTACACATAATTAATGAAGATTAAGTGTAAATAAACCTTACTCTTTTGAGTCTGCAAACTTGAGAGAGGTTATTAACATGCTGAGTGTACTATGGACAACATTTTTTATATTGTTATTGTCTGTTTAGTTTGGGCTATAATATTCAGTATGACTACAGTGCTTAATTGTGGGTGAGAATTTGGGGCAGTTATTCTGGATTTCTGGAATATTTATTTCTGGAAGTTTTATTTTCAAAATGTGAGTGTTGCAGCTACAGAGTTAAGGGACTAATTTCAGCTACTTGATGGTTGCAAAGACTCTTCTCTGAGGCTCAGGGTCCAGGTGCTTCAGGGAAGGACAGACAATGGCAAGTAGATGTCTAATGCTTACCTAAAAATGAAGCTTGCCAGAGCTGGCTTTGCCTGGCTCTGCAAAGATCCACTCCCCCTGAGTGGGGCTACAAAAGCATTTAGAAATACATATTGTGTGGAAAAAAAATCCAACAGAATAAAGCTGAATTAATTTCACTTTATCTTGTTCACTGCCACCAACTGAGGCTGGTTACTTACACAGATTCCTTTGGGGTTAGAAGAAGATTTATTTTCATTCTTTCTGTGTTTAGAAACAGAGGAGGAAGAGCTGCTGGTCTGTGAGGTGTTTGTGACAGTGGGCTCCTGGCTGAAGGAGCCGTTGTCACTGCTGTGCCGCCGGTGCACAGGATCATCCAAGAGTGGGGACAAAGGAGGAGGAAACAGCTTCTCTTCTCTTTTCTTTGTCACCTTCTTCACTGAGCTATTGTTGCTCCTGGGACATAGAGAAAAAACAGTTGCATTTCACGAATATTGGTTAATTCCCCACAGCACAAAGCTCTACATTTCCTTTACTGAGAACCCAGCTCTGCCCTCTGATCTGTCTTGCACTCCTGTGCCCTCTCTGATAAGGCACAAGGGGACAGCAGCAAAAACAGAAGAGCTGCCTCTGCCTTTTCAGTGACTGCAGAAACCTGCTTTGGAGGACAACTTGCAGTGCATTAGTACAAATTGCACCCAATTTAAATGCTAATTTGAGTCAGTCTTCATTTGAGAGTTCATAGAGGTTCTGACTCAGCAAAGTGCTGAAAAGTTTTATGCACAGGGTTAGTTCCTTTGACATCAAGTATGACTATTTATGTGTTTAACATTAAGCATCTTTTCAAGAGGTGGATTAGGGCACATATAAGCAACCTTTGCAAAAAATATCCAAACAGCACATGGCATCATATGAGCCAAAAATAGAATTTATAACAACTACAAAATTATAACCATAACAAGATAATACTTATTTAACCTCTAGAATGAAACAAATGTTCAACACTATATTAAAATGATACGTTGTAGCTGGCAAAAGCCCTTGAGCAAATATTGGTTGATTAATTGAATGTGATTCACAAAATGAATGTGGTTTTGACATGAAAGCTCAAGCAATGTAATACTCTATTGTCTGTTTTATGTACAGAAATTGTTAGCTGGCTAGCAATGGCAGCTGTGATGCACAATAAAACCAGAAAAAAATCCCAACCTGGTAGACCTTTCTCCACTCAAATTCATCAAAAAAGAGAAAAACCAAACCCAACACCTCACTGACTGCTTAACATGTTAATCTACTCCAAGATTTTTAATTCAGTTACTGTCCCAGCTCAGTCAATGAAGATTACCTGAATTTTTATCTTTTGTTAGACATCTAATATTGCACTACATGATTGTTTACTTCTCATGATTATTGATTAAAATTTTGTTATAAATTATATTGTGATATTGGCTTTCGCAGGTATTAAGATGAATATTATATGTTAAATACTTTTTGGCTATGTATGTACTTTTTTTCTTGCTAACAAGTTTTAAGCTTAAAGGAATCTCCTAAGTACCATCAAGGAAACCCCAGAGGGCAAAGACAGTGGGGCCCAAGCTGTTATCAGGAGAACAATAGAGGCCAAACTGTTATCAGCGGAAGATATGAAACCCAGCTGCCCTCAAAGGAAGGATGAGGGGCCTGGACTGTTATCAACAATGACCATTTGCAGAAGAAAGGAAACCAAACTCCAAAATAATGCTCATCAGCAAGAATAATGATGACCAGCAAAAATAGTGCCGACCAGCAGAAAATAAAAATTGTGCAAAAGCATATTCTAAGAAGGCGGAACTAGGGAGGGGACATGCTTTGAATATGCATTAAACCCTCACAGCAGGAGGGGATAAAAAGAGTGTTCCCAAGATACCAGGTGTGTTCCTGGCAACCCGCCAGGGCACCCGGCCGTTTTAACCCTTTGCTTTATTTCCTTTGTCTCCTAATTGTCTTTTTGTTTATATTAAACTTTTTATAATTTATTAAGTGAATCTTATTTTTAATAATTTCAATAACAAATTAAGTCAACAAGAACTTATGTTTTGTTCCCACTTTCAGTCAGTGTCAGGAATTACCAATCTACTTTGCTTCAAAGCAACCTGGGAAAGAGGAGGAGGCGACGCAGGTTCCCTTACTTCTCATTTACAGGCTCTCTCATTTCAGTCTGGCCTCTTCTGCAGTTTCACTGACAGTATCAATATCTACACCTTGGTCTCTGCCCTACCTGGGACCTTTGATGATACAGAAATATTTTAGCCTTATCTGTGAAACCGAAGAGTGAAATCAAATTAACTCCTCATGTTTTATAGCTCCTCTACCCAAAACTACTCTAATTCAACCTGAGCAGAGTTAAAAATATCTTACTTGAAACCCTCTGATATTAAAGATCTTCAGACTGAAGAAATAAAACAAGCTCAAATTCATACTGCCTTACTGGGACGGATGCTGTCCTGCCTGGAAGACATGGGTCTGAAGAAGATCAAAGGCAAACAACCATGTTGGAATAGACTGGCAGTTCTTTGAGGAGAATGATTTTATGCACATGTGGTCCTGCAATATGTCCTCCAGAAAGTTCTCACTCAAAGCTCCATCTGTTTGCTTTCTCACCCCCAAAGGGCATTTTGGAACTCAGACAAGTTACCATAGTTATAGCTCATGACACTGAACTTTTTCCAGACAAAAGTTTTCCAAAGGAGAGTAAGCACTGCCCCAACAAAGCATGCACGTATTATTGGATTGTACAGCTGCAAAGAAGACACAGCTAACCCACAGAAACACCCAGGAGTAGAACCCAAACCCTCTGCCTCCCAAGCACATGCACAGGGAACCCTGAACTCATGGCGGGGAACACAGAGCAAAGTGGTTTTCCATGCCACTGTGCACGGAGGAGTTTGGAGCTCTTCACTATTTAAAACTTCATAAGTTCAATTCATCTTTGGGCTCAGATACAAGATGGGGTAAACCAATGAACAGGTGCAGCTTCTCAACTCTGGCACATAAATCACTCTGTGGGTTGGAAAAATTAACCACAAAACAAAAAGTACTAGAGGATATTTTTTCTACATAACTTATGTTTAGCTCCGTCCCCCCAACAGTACAGTTTTAATTGTCTGTTGAGTTTTTTTTATTTTCTTCCCCTTGCCCAATTAATCCTATAAATTTTTGCAGGAATAAAGCTGATAATTATCTAGCAATGTTACCTCCCTCAGATTTATACTAAAGCATTTATGTTAACAATAACCTTCATGAAATAGGTTGTTACCAGCAGTTAACCAGATTGTCACTTTGCTTTTGGCTGTTAATGGCCTAAGAAACTGGTCTTTGATTGCAGGAATTGATAATTTTGGATTATTTTATTGCAATAATTACTGAGACTCAATGGTTTAATTTGCTGACATAATTGTTAGTTAAAATATATTTAAAATCTAGGGAGAAACACAATAAAAGTGCATGGAAAAACTACAAGCAGGACTGATGGTCTTGTGGCTGCAAGGTTTAATCTTTTGTGTGTAAAAAAGGCCAATTATCAAAGAAGGAGAAGGTTCCCCATCTGCTTGCTTTTTTTTTTTTTTTCCCAGCCGGTTTCTTTTAGGGCAGAAAGCAAGCAAACAGGCATCAAGAGGTCATTGCATGAAGAAGGGAGAATTTGCAGCTACTCTCATGTTTCAAGCTGCCTTTCTTTGTCCTTTCTTTATCTACTCCTTGTGGTATGCAGTGATATCTGGCCTGTTAGTGAGACAAAGCCACTGTCTATACCAGGCACTTGGCTTTCTTTTGCCTCGGCTCCCCTGGCCCACAATGAAATGCTGCACATTGATGGTGATCTGATTTTCTGAAGGGGGTTTACAGGAAAAAGTCACTCCCACACTAGCTGGACCATATGGCAGCACCTGAACCAAGCTTAAGTCATTGTCACAGATGTGAATGCTGCCTGTGCCATGAAGGAACCCAAAGGAATGCTGCTGTGACTTCCCAAGGGATCGACTAATATGTATTGCCAAGTACAGGTGCATCTTCAACTAAAAGTCAAATAAAAGAGAACGGTAAATTTTGAGAAACAGAAATGCAGAAGTGTTTGTCTCAGACAGATTTCTAGCATGCCTGCTAGATGCTGGGCATGTTTCACTATTGTGAGTCCAATTTGATTCACAGTTTGCATCAGCAAATAATTCCCTTTGTGACTAAAAAAAAACAAATACTGGTGAGTAGTGCTCTGTCTGGACTGGGTCTGTCAATCAAATATTCATGTATCAATGGGATTCAGCAGCACATACAATTAATGTTTACATTAAAATTTCTCCGTCAAGGAACTAAATATAAATCCTCTGCTGTAAAGCAGGCAGCTGATCTGACAAAAATTCAGCTTCACAGAAGTGTTTCAATGTATTCCCATAAAAACACTGAAACACCTATTCCTTCATTTGCTGTAAAGTATCAGAAATAAGGAAAATACAGTGGCAATAGTTTGAACAGAACAATTTAAGTGTCAGGTCAGATTTTGGAAAAGTCATCAGCCCCTGAGTATGTGAGGGAAGGAACAGAGAGGTAATTATGGCTTATGCAATGACTACATAATACAAACCTGCTCTCTGTGCAAATGTCTTTTAAGTTCAAAAGTGACCATTTGAAATTTCTAAACTCAAATTATACATGTAGTGACAGAAACTTGTGGAATTAGGCATATAATTGACCTTATTAGACACATGATCCTTTAAAGATTAATTGTGCATCTTTGCTTGCTTTATTGAGTCCATATATTTAGGGGAAGACTATAGAGAAATGTATCCAAGTGCCAAACCATAGCAAGACATATGATGGGAGCTGTCAAAGCACAGGTGTAACCTGCATTTTCTGATTGCTCCTGACTCCTGAATGCCTCCAAATTTTGGCCCAGATTATAGTATTTCTGTAAAAACACTCTTGTACCTTTAAAAGAACTTAATAAAAATCTCAGGTCTGCCTTGGGGAGCTTGGCTTATTGGCACAGGGATCAAGTTCTAATAGGAGATACCCAAGTTTCCTACTAAGTGACAACATCCACCATGGGACTTAACACCTCCTTAAGGGATGAAGATCATGATCACACATCATCACTATATCACACTGTCTCAAAGTCCTTATATAGAGAGTTCTAATAGAAAACTTGGAACTTTGGGAATAAAAGACTGAGAGGAATGATGGGTTTGTCTTTACAAACAAGCTGTGGGTCTGCTGATAAGATGCAGCTATCAGTGAGAGACAACAGAAACATTGGTATGGATTCCACTAAAAGATCAAAGAGGCACTGAAAGAGCACCATGAATTCCACAAGAGTTAAGAATTAAGAAGGGATTATGCATTGTGGGGGGGAAGGTATCCCAGGTATCAGGTGCTCCGGGAAGCCTGTACCTCTCAAGTACCTCAGCCTATGGGGAAAGAGAGAAGGGACAAGCAGCTGAGAATTAGGATAAAAAGGAGGCTGCGCCCTCCAAAATTTGAGAGACCCCAGGGGAATGCCCCATGGCCTCTCCCTTTATTTGAATAAAGTAAAAGGACTCCTCTGTCTCCTTTTTGGACATAAACCTCCGGTGTTTGTGGATTAATTTTCCTGACAAGACCAAATGGCAAAGCCTATCTTTCAACCTTTTACTCCTGAAGTGCTATTTTTCCCCATGGCCTTGAACAGTGGACTTTCTTCTGCCTCCCCTTAAAAATTTAGTTAACCCTCTGAAGAACAGAATTACTCCTGAATGCTTAAAAATGAACATTTAAATTTCTAGGAAATTGTCTTCACACAGTTCATCCAGCTCTGTGATCTTTTGGGAAATACATTAATCTATATTCAGTTGCATGTCTCTGGGAGTTGAAAATTTGAACTGAAAACTTTAATCAAAAACGTATTGCATTTTCTTCAAGCAAATTCAGAAAACACTAGTAACAACAAATGCAGAGTGATCCAGGTCTCACTGAGGTAGGAAAGAAGTCAGAAAATTTTGTTCAAAACTTCAGGGAGATGAGAGAAAAAACTAGTATATGGAAGTAACTATTGATGGACACAACTGTGTTTTAAGAGAGAATGCCAAAGGGTTGAAAGCTCTGAGGAATCAAATTAATGATCTGGAAAACAAGCTCAAATTAGAAACATCAGACTGGGTGTAGATTCTTAGGGCCCGATGGTGACAAGAATAGAAAGATTTTTTTTTTTAATAGATTGTTGAGGTGCTGGGGATGGACAATCTTTGATTCCCTTTGCAATATATCTCTTCTAATTGTATTTCTAGCAACGACAGTCAGGCAATATCCATGTTTACCAAATGTGTAACATGTTACAGATCCCACTGTAACTTTCAACTTGTCTTCCTTTTCCAGATTCCAACTCTGATTTTCTCAGCGGCTGAATGCAGTGCTAGTTCACAGACTGTAGTTACTCCATCTTGATGCCAGAATAAATAAAATAATGCTCAACCTTCTTTAAGGATTTTAAAATTAGTGTACTATTTCATAACTTATTTCTGAACTTTATCTAAATTTAGCTATATTATCCTCAAATTGTTTTCAGAAGCACACTGTGATTTTGATTCTTTGCTTATCCTAGAGCAAAACAGAAAGAAGGGCCTCATCTCAAAATCATAAAAGCACAAAAATTGAAACAAAAGGGAATTGGACTCTTTGGCTATTTATAGAATGTTAACCTTGTGATCTTAAAATCAGAATAATTATTTATGTGGCACCTGTTTGCTCAAGCATTATAGCCATTTCTGAAAGGCACTGAAAGGCATAAACTATTGGATGGTGTGTCTGCTGAGATACAAAGCACACATCTGAGACACTTAGGATGGTTGCCCCTGGCATTGCTGTATACACAGGTAAAACAAAGAGGCAATTTCAGTATTTTGTTCAATAAAACTGGGAACTGTCTCTTATGAAAATGATTTAAAAAAATTAATTCACAGCAATCAAATGAATCCCACTTTTAGCAGGATTCACTGTCCACAGAGGTTTAAGGTAATAGAGGCAAGAAAGAACATTGAAAGGAGGTTGAAGAGTACACCAGGATTGTCACAACATTCTGAAGTCCTGCAGGCCATCAGAAGGAGGAATAAATCTCATCAAAACCATGTGGATTTTCTTCCTCATGGATGGGAATACCAATGCTGTGTCACTTATGCTGATGGGCTTTAAGGCCCATCTGACTCTACAGCAAAGATATTTACAAAACAGTACTGTGAAATCCCTCAAGAGTGTGATGTCAGAAATACACTTACTCTTTAGTGCTGGTTATTCTGTGGTTTGGTATTGGAGATATACAAGGTGGGAGCAGACAGGAAGCAGGAGGCTCCTCCAGGCGCTGCTTCTTGCTTTCAGCAAAGGTATCCAGGCTTTCCATCTGTTTTAACAAAAATGGCAGGGCATAAAAGATCCAGCATTTATGTACAACTCCACTGGCCATCGACGGGACCTATGGAATCTCAGTGTATTTCCTTTATAGCAGCTACTACCTACTGGTCTAAGAGAAGTGAAAATCACCTGAAATCAGGGCTAAATATGCTCTAAACACATGACATGAAGTTATACAACAAGTGACATGGCAGATAATTAGGAAGCAAAATGTCTCTCATGCTAAAGTTATCTGCTGTAGTCCACTGGAATTTAATTAATAATTTAGATGCAATGACTTGATAGCGCCAAACCTTATTCAAGTAAATAGCTTTTACTCGTTGACTTAATAGAAGTTGATGGGAAAGCTACTCTGAGTAAGTATTACTCACAGGACTAGGAGCAGAGGACTGAGCTGGGAGAGTCATTAACAGCAATAGCTCATTTGATATTGGAAGACTCCCTGATGCATGACTTTTGTGCCTGAACTGAAATGATACAAACAAAGCTGACTATTGCTCTGTCACTAGAACCTTTATATCAGTCTTCTAAGCACTAGTAGATGACTAAAATAAATCTTTTAATAGCATGATTTAGAAACACAAATTAGCCTCTCCCTATCCTGCTTTAACACTTGGTATACCCTTAAGTCATCCTAATTGGCTTGTTTCCCCTTGGGTAGCAGTGAGCAATCACACTGCAATGGAAGGGGATGATGCAGAGTCCAGCTTATGTTAGCTGGAGGTCCAGAGCAAGATTCTCCATTTGTTACTTTCTGATTCAAAGTCTCAATTAAGGAAATTATAAGGTTCCAACTTTCATCTAATTCCCCCTTATTTTTTTTCTTCCCTGGGAGCCCTCACTTTAGTTGCCAATACTACACTTGTGTTTTAGTCAAGATTCCTTCTCCATGAACTCCACTAAGTTACCCAGCAAGAATTATTTTTGGTATAATAATATGGACCCTGGTGTACTTAGACATACATAAGTATGGACATCCCTCTCCTCTTTTTTTCTCCTTCCTTCTTGCATCTCTGTAGTGTGCAACTAGAATATAAATTGAATAAAAACCTGCTGAGTTTACTCATGATTATTTTCACTTCATTCAACAGGGAAGGAGCCAGTGCAGTGACTCATTAAGGCAAACGATGCATAAAACATCATTTATGTCTGCCTGGCATCACCTGTCTTTGTCTTGGATTAATTCTCTTGTACCACTGGACTCCTCAAACTTAGAATTTCAAGAAGTCCACCAAAACAGACAACTGAAGTCATATTCACCATGTTTTATAAAATTTGGGGTATAAAAAAATACACTGATGAATTTTCACAGGCAGACCAGAGTACAAGTATTTCAGGTGGAAAAACTGACTAAAAAAATTCATTTAGGATATAAAACCTCAGTTTCTTTTCTGAAAACACATTTAGTTTGAAGTGTAATGTCATATCCCACAAGGAAGGATACCCTTGAGCATAAATAACATAAAACACATGATAAAACATAATGCCTTAAGTAAAAATATATTTGTTTTTCTCAGGTAGCTGTGCAGAGAAAGCAGCTAGTTAAGTAAATTATATTTCTATGAATCATATTGGTTCATACCACAAAACAATATAAAAACAGAATTCACCAGAAGCATAAGTAAGCACCATTCCACTGACTGATGAAGCCTGTTTAAACCAGTGGCGAAAACACCTTAATTCTGCAGACAATAAACCCCTCCCTTCCAAACAGAAGTCACATTTTCTGAGTATGGCTGAAACTGTACTAATATGAACTCATCACTTTCTGCAGATTATAGAACACTGGAAACTAATAGGTGAGTCAGCAAATACAGTGAAAAAGCTTGTAAGAAAAATCTCAAAAAATACATTGTTTATTGATTTTGTCAGCTTTTCACTACTTTCTGATGTTAATTTGTAGTGCACTTGTAAATGTCTGTCCTTTGTAAAACCAATAAAGCCTCAGTGCTGTGATGCCTTCCCAAGGAGAAATCACTGCCTCTGCTCCTGACCTCCAGGGTGCTCAGAAATGCAAGTGTTTTCCTTTAAACAATGAAAATTACTTACCTTGTGTTTCCTTTTGGATTTTGTGGAGGGTTTTTCAGCTGTTGGGGTAGGGGACTCTCGAGATGGCCGCCTGTGTTTCACATTTGCCTCTCTCGGTTCACTTTTCACAGACGTGGTTTCAAAAGTTTCCTGTCCAGGTATCCTAGAGAGTAAACTAAGGTCTATTTTCACCCACAGAGATTTGAGTTCTTCATATTCTCTCAGTGGGGACAGAAGTTCATTTTGTATGATTGGGATAGGAGAAAAGAGCTGCTCCTCCAGATCATTGCTAGTCTGGTCAATGGATGTGTTACTGCCATTGCTGGTTAAGCTACTTACGCTGAGGATGTTACTGCCAGAATCCTTCACTTTGACACCACTGCCAGACCCAGTGCAGGCTGGCAGCACCTTCACTTGCAAGTTCTCCTCCTGGTCTGTGTTTGAGTCAGAAGTAGATGAATCAGTTTCAATGAACTCCCGCGACTTCGGGACAATTTTGCTGGGGCCTCTGTACTTTTTCTTCTCTGAAGTGAGACCTGTGCTCGTTCGTGGTTCTTTCCTTGGAGCTGTCTTCCCAACTGCTGCTTTAGTTCGAACCTTTGGCTGCTCGGGGGGTTCCTGTGTGTCTTTTTCTTTGGGAGTGTTGCTGGTATTATTTGGTTTGGGCCAGTTATACTCTTCTACACTGGAAGTCCTTTCTACCTTTTTGGGTTGCTTTTTCCCGGTAGTCCTTTGTGAAGTTGGCTCATTATGAGCTGGTGATTTCTGCTTGGAACTTTTTGCCTCTGGAGTTTTCTGGGAAACTCGTGGTTTGGCTTTCTCTCGGATGGGACTAAGGATTGCCCGGTCTTTGGAATCAGTCGGGGGCAGGCTGCTGTTGAGCTTCCCTTTGTTTGGCCCTTCAGGCTGCTGGTTGTTCTGGGCCTGGGAGCTGCTCTCACTGTGAGGCTCATTTTGATTGTTGATGATGGTCTTGTTGGGGGGGTTCACTTTATTTAGCCATTTATCCAGCTGCCATTTATTTGTTGAGGGGGGTTCAGGCTGCAGATTGAAGGATGAGAAGGAACAAATCTCAGACAGAAGCAGTGCTTTTCCCTTTAAAAGAGAACATTTTTTATGTACCCTTTTATTTCAGTCAACTAGTGGTGACTGCTAGTTTTATGGGGGTATTTATGGAGTATTTATGGTTAATTAGGCTTCCTTATCTGGTTTACAATGTGGCCCTGGAGAAATTTAATACAACTAAAAAGTTTAGCTAGTCCCAGAAGAGATAGTTTTGTCATGTTGCCTATCCTTAGTCCCAGCTGAATACTGTGTCAATAAAATCTTCTCTAGCTACTGGCAAAAATCTAAATATTTCTTTAAAGCAACTCAAATGTAGGCCAGAAAGGTTATTCCAAAAGCTAGAATGAGTATGTGGGTCATACATGTGAAACAGCAAAGGGATAAGAAGTCAACCACATCAAACAGTTCAGAACTCCGACATCCGCCTAACATGGAGCAGGACTTAGCTTCCCTCCATGCTTTCCCCTCTGGGGAGAGCTGAGTCGCTTACCTCTGGCGTGGCACTGCGTGACTCCTCATTGCACTCGCTGTCACTGGAGCTGCTCTCACTATCAGAGTCGGACTCAGAGCTGCTCTCGGACTCGCTGGAGCTGCCAGAGCCGCCACTGGAATGGGCCAAGCCAGAGGCATGTGCCACTGGCACTGGGAGACTGCTGCAGGGACAAAATCCTCTCTTAGTGTGCTCATGGCTTTTTGCAAGTGTTGCCCAGTGAGCCCTATTCCCACTGAATGTCCTCAGTGTCACCACCCTCTCCTGCAGTGCAGACCCATCAGAGCTCCAGGAGTTGTGTCACTGTGGAGCCACCAGAGGAGCTGGTTGGGTTAGTGACTCATAGGACACATTATGTTAGTAACATTACAATCATCATCACCCTCCAGTAAGAAACACTGCAGTGACACTAACCTGAGCTTATTAGGCCAATGATTGCAAAAGCTAACAATCACACTTAAGTAATTCATTTATGGAATCATGGTTTCTTCATATTTTGGCAGCTCATTTATAAATTGTGATCAAAGGAAGGACGTCAGGCAACTAATATTGGACAGTACACTTTAAAAATTAATTTTAATGAATACTTTTACACTTCAGTGTACAAAAACTACATATTTTGACAAGTCTTCAGGGAGTGCCTGAGAATTTTTTATTTATAGCTTTTTTCCCTCTCATATTTATGATAATGAAGTGAGAAAATAGCATTCATGCTGAAAATAAGCTTCTCTGGGAAATCTATTCTTCTGTGTGTTCAACTGTCCTCCAATGTGTTTATCAGCAATGCACTGTGTGTTATTGTTTCTCCTCAGCATTTGCTTCTAATCTGAAAGGTCAGATGATCCCACCTTTTAGCACTATAGAATTCTGCCAGTCTGAGTCTCTATAAACTCATCTTTAATTTAAACTTTTTTGTTAGGGAGATAACCATAAGGTTATATGTCTCTTTGGCTGATCTATACAGGGACTTTTTGATGATTGATTTTAAATTTGTGAAGCTGACAAAGCAAAGTGTTTGAAAATTGACACCATTTGCTGTGCCCTTATAGATATTCAATACTTCACCTTAATATATCATACATTGTGTGTGTCCCATATTGAGTGATCCAGAGATGTCTACAAGGTATAATGCAACTTTGCCTCTGTTTCCATCTGCTTTTCTATTTTCCTCCAAGGATTCAACTAAGCTAGGTATATGCTTTCCTTCCCTTTTCAAACCAAGATGCTCTGTGCATCAAGATGCTGTCTTAAAAAAACACAGTAACTAAGAAACTGGAAAAGCAGGGGAAAAAACAACAAAGGAAAAGCCAGAACAAACTGATGTGTGACCCTGCTCTGGTAGAATCTTTACAAGCATTGTCATTGGCTTCTCTGACAATAATAGATGGACTTTAATTTTCTTCTTACACTAAGCTACTTTTTCTCCCTCCTTGTTGGTAAAACCTGTGGCTTACACCGCAGTTGGTAACAAAACTGTCTCTTTGAGCCTTGCAATGGCCCTGCAGTGCCCATTGACAAAAAAAACAGCTTGATGCTTTAGGGTGCATTAATGAAACAAAATTACTCACTTGGGTAATTGCTACAGATTACTAACTTTGTTGCTCATTAAGTCCATCCCCTTTTTATTTTTTAAATTCTTCTAGCGGCTCCTTACTCAACTGACTCAAGTAGAGCTACTTAGAAAATTTCAACTGCATGTAAAAGACAATTCAAAGAACAGATGATGAAAATATATAGGCATTTCTAAAAGTATTATGAAAAACTAACTATTGCTGAATTAAAATGGATCCTACAATTTTTATTTAATAAAATTGCTTTTACAAACCATTTTGTATTTCTTCCTTTATCCCTCCTTTTCAGTGAAGCTCAAGAAAGTGTAAGAAAACACATTTTTCATCCAATTTTTTTTTACATTAAAAAAGGCAACAGAAAAGTTAAAAAAAAGGAAATGTGTTTGTAGGGGTGTTTGCCTTTCTCATCAATATCTTGTAATTTTGGTCTTATATTTTCTACTTGGAAAATACTAACAGATAAAAATTGAGCTTTCATATTTTGTTGCAAATATTTCCAAGAAGAATAAAATAGAAAACACCACAAGGATTCCCAGACTGAGGAGGCAAACATGTCAGTTCCATTCTATAATGCCAGAATAAAGCACCAACCTTGAAAAAAGTGTTATTTATTGAATTATCAGAGAACTTAAGTTTTAATTTAAAAACAACTTTCACCCTAAATCTGATAGTTTCTCTGGAGTGGTTTGTGCCTGGGTGATCTCCACACAGAGAAGTGTGTGTGGGGCTGCACACACATCTGTGCACATCTGTCTAAGGACATGCTCTGCTCTCAGGACTGGCATGTCTGCTCTCATTAAGACAACTGATGTAAAGAATAACACCCCTTATATAAGATCAAGGAAGGGAAAGGCAGTGCCCCAGCCAGACACCTTTAAATACAACTTACCTCTCTTAGTGCTCTGGGACGAGCATTGTAGCTGGGATGAGCTCCCAAAACAACAGGAGTCATTCCAGAGCAGACTGCAGCTGTCTGACAAAGAACTCAAGGGGCAAGAATAAAACCATGGAAATAGATAGCAGCTCCAAACTGACGTTATTTTCTTTCTGCACATCAGCCTCAGAAAAAGCTACCATGTGCCAAACAATACTGAGTAACAGCTCAGCAAGCATGCAGGAACCAGACAGGCTCAAAATAATGTTTTTCATACAAAACACAATGAGGTCATATTTGTCTTTCACCTGGGATAATAAAATTATGCCTTGGCTACACCGGGCAGTTTCATGCTGAAGGCATCACTGCTGATCCTCTACCTAAAGTAGAAGCATTCATTTTCAAAATGTACTTTGGGTTGAGTGCAACTGTGTATGCTTTGCAAAACAATCAGGTAAGAACAAAAATGCCTTTCCTAGGATCTCACCATACTGAAAGATAGATCTTGTACATAGCTACAAGCACAAATAACTTCTTTGAATATAGTTCAACAAAGAAGAAAAAGGTATCCATACGTTTCAAAAACAAAAAAAGCATAAAAAAAGAATATTTTTGCTTCCAATAAAATAAGTTTAGTAGATGTTCTGGATTGCCTTTTGTGATTTTCTTCCTTAAATTTCTTCCATGTCTTAATTAAAAAATACTTGGTTTGCACTATTTCCAGAGATTTCTGCAGATTTAAAGTTCAATCATATTTTGAAAGATGTTGAGCTAGATTCTGCAAATCAAGCAGCTGTTATATAAATAAACTAGGCTTGCTCATATAGGTTTCAACTGCATGAACTGGGGGTTGCCTCTTGAGAAGAGTTTCAAAGCAAGCTTTATTATGTTGCTAAGATCCAGAGAAGGAATGCCAGTTCAGACAAGGTTTAAAATGGATTTAAAGCATTTTATCATCAGACACAAGTCCTCAAAGTGACTAAAGGGAGCAGGAAGGACTGATATTTGAAACTATTGAATTTTTATTTCCCGGCAGGAGATGAGCACTCATATTGTTCCTCAGTGTTTGGGTGGACAATGTTTTTATTTCATGTGAACTGAAAAAAAATAAATTAATAAAAACAATGCTGCACAATGGAACACAGCATTGTTTGGGTAAATAACACTTACAAGAAAGCCAGTCCATTATTATCACTTGAGATTGGAGGCTCCTACTGAGACCAGTGACCCGCTGTGCTGGATCTGTGTAAATACAGGATGAGGCACAGTCCTTGGGCCAAAGAGCTTGCAGTGCAAACACACAAAGCAAACAGCAGAGGTATTAAAGTCATCCTCATACTCAGTGTGGGCCTGTCACATTCTCTAAGTGCAAGGTCTCTCTGCAGTTAATAGAAACATCAGTTTTTGCCCTCCTTTTAAGTTTGTTCTCCTCATTTTCCAAGCCCTGTGCTCAGCACTTGAGCTGAGTCCTGCAGGGCAGTCAGACGTGCTCTGCCCTGACCCAGAGCACCGACCAGGCTGGGAGCAAAAATGCCAAGTGTCTCGGCAGGGAGACCCCCACGGTTCAGGTCAGATGGATCAGTGGCTGCTCACCCCTCTCCCATGTAACTCCTCTTGTGCCATGGAGGTGAGAGCCCTGGAGTGACACCCACACTGCAGGGTGAAGAGGAACCAGTCCTCTGTCCCTCGCAAAGGTCACCATGACAATGTCTCTAGCTGCCTCAGGACTGGTAAGCTGGGATCCTTTCTGACAGAGAAGACCTGCACATCTGGAAGCAAGATGGAAGGAAGCTCTTCTGCAGCACCTTCACCCATCTCCCTTGTGCTTTTGCAGTGCAAACGTTCCCCTAGCCCCTGATATTTGTGCACATCATGGCCACGAAGTATGAGATGAGAAATGCCTTAGAGGGGACAAACACCAGCACCACCATTACCCAGAGTATTTTTCAGCTCTTGCTGAGTTCAAATAACTACAGAGCTAAGACTTGCAGGTGTGTGGCTGCTGATGGCCCCTGATGAGGAGCTGCACTGACGTCATCACATGCCAACCATCCTTCATTGCAGTTGACTGGTACAGGTGATCTGCCCAAATCATCTTGAAGCTTGTCTGTTTTTTAATTCATGGCTTATTTTTTCAAAGCAAATTAAAGCAGACATGGCAGTGTTATGTGTCTGGATCATTATGCTGCATAGAAAACCAAAGGCCTGATAGATATGTGGCTTATGCTTTTTTATTTTTGTTTGTTTTTGTTGACATCTGAACCATTATATTGTTTTCAACATATAATTTACTGTTATAAATTATCTTCAAAATTAAACCTGATAGCTACAACAAAAATAATGTGAAATACTCCAGCTCTAACGAGAAAAATAATAAACTTCTACCCTTGTAAATACAGATGTAAAAAAAAAAAAAAGGTATAATTCAGCAGTAAAATTCATCAAGGAACAAAACTTCCTAACAAATCCTTAGCTATCTCCCTGAACCTTTTCCGAATGAGATATAGTCATGTTAATTGCTGTGAGGAGAATCTGGCAAATAGATGTGCTATACAACAATAGGTTTATTCATTCTAACCCTTCTTTTTAGGGTAATGAAGAATTGGCCACTTGTTTCACTGCTGTACTCAGAAAACAAAATGTGAACATATAGAAAGCAGAATGTTCCTGGGAAGGGGGAAATTGTAGATGGGAACTGACTGGTAAGTCAACAGTACA